CCTCATTATATTGACAGTGATTGCTGGAGGATTTTGCAGGATTGAGGCAGTGGTCACCCCTTGAAGGACCACATTCAAAAAATAACGGAGGATTTTGTAGGATTGAGGCTGTATGCAACTTGTACATGGAGGCAATTAAGTGGAGGATTTTGCAGGATTGAGGTTGCATCCTAGCAATTTTTTTTAGGGAGTTAGGGTTAGTAAATAAGCAACAACATTGGATGAACCTGAGCACTTAGTTGTCAGTGTACCGGTACTTTGAATTTTTTTTTGTACACCATTTCAAAGCCTTTGACTGTTTCGTATACTGTGATGGGAATGATTTTATGTCTGTATTTCAGCCAAAGTCTACCAAAATAGAATTATATTGTATACATCAAAAGACATTCACTTTGATAATAGCTGTCAATCATTTGGGGCACATGTATCTTCCATTTGCGTGTTGTTTTGTTAACACTGATGCATGACATCGGTGGAAATATATATGTTATAAAAATAAAATCATTGAGCCATCAATTCTTGGAACGTCACACACTGGTAAAGACAATGAAAATCTGATTGCACATTTGGAGTCATCTGTCGATTTGGTCTTTCAACCAAGCATGGTTTCTAAGTGAAATTTGTCCCATGTAATTGCGTGCGTGTGCGTGCGAGAGTAAGGACGTGCGTCATTGCCAGGGCCGCACACGTGTACAAATTCATTTTATATAACACTAGATTTTTTCCCCGAGTGGCATCCAGGGCCCAATGACCTTCAACCTTAATTAGAAAGTAGTATTGCGCTGTGTTGAACATGGAACAAATCCACAAAGGTAAACCTTTATAAAATGTACATGTATGATTTGGATTTTAAAATACGGATATCTAGTGTGTCTTCATTTAGTATTGACTGCGTGCTTGAATGAAATTTTATTCATGAGCAAATATTATGTAGTGCTGCCTATATTGCTGTGATATTCTATTGCAGGCACTGTTCTCTAGGTATTGTAATTGGTTTCCTCTTCATTGTTTGTTAATACAGCCAAAACCATTAACCATAAAAAGTGTGTTACAACGCAGGAATACCCCAAGGGGGAAAACCCAAAACAACTTCACTATAAAGATATGAAAACTAAATCGATTCAAAAACAGGACAATAAAAAAATGACACAAAGTTAAAACAAAAACACAATTTGGATATTTCCAATTGGATCAAAGGCCAGTAAAACGAATAGTTTGCTCTGATACATTGTAGACTACATGTAAGACTGACGGGTGCATACCTATGTTCCCCAATACCGATGTTCCCCGAAATCCTTACCCTATAACCTTAACCCTAACCCTCACCCTAACCCTAACCCTTACCCTAACCCTAACCCAAATCCTAATGATTTCGGGGAACATCGGTATTGGGGAACATAGGTATTGGGGAACATCGGGTAGACCCCAGACCGACTACAGACATCTGTGATACAGTGGGACTACCGGTACGGTAAATACTACCACCTTGGTCATCCAGTGTCCCCACCCCACTCCCTCATCCCACTCCCCCATCCCTATTTTCCTACCGAGTCCCTGGATCCTCCCAGGGTGGCCAGCCGATCTCACTCATCCTAGACACTGCTATCCTCACTAAACAACCTTTTGCATCATCGCTGTAGTTGTGCTGCATCATTTCATAATAGATTGGGTTGATTTTTGATGGTATGTCCTTGAGTGTCTGTCCAACCTAGACATGACGTCATACTCTATATCAGATCCATTTTGAAATTGTCGGGCCTACCCTTGACATTTGAAATTCTGTTCTGCCAGGTGAATGGACATACATGTTTATGAATAGCAAAACAATTTGTGCCATAATTGTACACACATTAAGAACTGACCTGTGTGTGAATGTATGTGATCATGTTGGGTTTTTTTTGGGTGGAATATCTATAATAAAAAATATTCTTGGAGGGCTGTGCGTTTTATTAAGCATTTAAACAAACATGATTTCCATTTATTGTTAAGATATGAATTTTTACTTTTTATGTAATGAGTGCCAACATTAAAATAAGTATGTGGATAACTACTGTATTTACTTTTTGTCCAAACGATGCAATATTGTTTTCATGTTGCAACATTAACGTGTGTGTTCAAATTATAATTTGTTCTTTTTCCTCGCAAAAGTTGAGGGTATTCGTGAATGTACTGTTTGTACCTGAATTTCAACAGACGGACATTACATTAGTGAGATGCACAGTAAATGTATCATTCTTGAAGCCTTTTTGCTTTTACACCAGTGTTGTGATATTCCTTGCACCAGACAGACATGAGTCATGTGGGGGTCAGTCGGTCAGTTTTTCTTTTGCTGCATATTAATGAGTCGTCCAGCACTGACCCAGATAGTCCGGTACACGTAGCCTAGAGGATTGCCTGTGAATGGTGTGATGCGGTTTGCCATGGCAGTCGTTGGTCCACCTCAATTGACGTGCAAACAGTCACAGCGCACCAAGCGGAATAATGTAATGTTTAGTCTGAGGGATGCGCAGGAGAGGGGGAAAAAAAATACTGTTTCACGTTACGACTTTTAATTTTTTATATTATGTCCAACAATAATGTACTCGGGCAAAAATTGAATTCAGTCAGCTGTATTTATTTTTCGTCAGTCTGTACGTACATGGTCTGTGACATGGGTCGGGTTTTTCCCCCAAACAAAAAGGAACATCTTGCAGATATACATGTGTACGAGAAAAACATTCAGAACAAAGATAGGTAGAAGACCACAACACAACTTGCGATTCTCATGGCCCATAATTCCTAGTACAGATGTGCGTGTCTGTGGTTAGCCAAAATTTGCACACTGTCTTGTGTGAGAAATTCCTTTGCATACATGAACACATTTTTAGCCAGTTCCCAACCAAAATAAACAGGAGAAAGCTTGAATTTGAAAACAGTGCCCTAGCTTGTGTAAACTTCTGACAGGTAAATGAGGAAAAATATAGGATTGCTCTTGACAAGATCACATTCCTGTTTAGATTGTTTTACGTATTGTGATGTTCTGAATGTAATGAATACTGCACAAAATCAATTTGTTATGAGTAAGTTTCGTTGCCAATAACAAAATAAGTTGCATTAATGGTAGATCAGCCTTGTGCCATACAGTAGGTACAATTTCTAATATTTATCAGTGAATGCAAATTTCAATGGGATGGAGCTTACATTGTTGCTTGTTCAATATAATCACTGGTAACCCATTTGAATGGTACCGCCCGTGCTTTGTTGAGTTGGCCGACCTGGATATTTATCAATGCGCATAACTTACATGTACTTGTGTAAAGGTCAAGATGGCGGCTGCAATCGGAAATACAATACTGAAGACAAGGGACAAAGTTCAAATCACTTTTGTCTGCAATTGTACTCAATGAGTTGTATGCATTTGTCATATGATGAAAAGGGGGGCCAGCCAAAGTATGAGATGTTTAAGTATATTAATTAGTGATAGTTAGAAACAATTGGAAACATCCACATTAAACCATTAGAGACTAAAAGGATCATTTGTGTTAGTGAAAATAAGCTTGACAAATCAGTGCCTTAAATCTGGCAAGTACATAAAGTCTGAAGTGAGTTTGTGGACTATTATGTTCCCTGTCCCATTTTCAAGGCAGCCAGGTAATTAGCTTGTACATTTTGTACATGTCTTTTGTGTGTGTAAAACTGAGGACTGTTTGTGACAAGAATCATCTTGGTTTAAATTGGGAACAAGATTCTAAGTATCTTCTTTCTTGTTTAGTTTTATTTTGTTCAGCTTGAACTCCGGAAGTGTAAAGTTCAGTTAACTCTGGCAACAGTTAGCGTGGGCGAAGTGTGCATAGAATGTGTGTGCCATTTTCACCAAGTCTTTCTTTTTCATGCTGGGCTGGGACAAAACAACACTGCTGTAGTGAAATCCAAGCAGATAATGATATCAGGGCTTTAATCAGGCCAGGGTGATATCGGATACTTTAATTGAGGGGCTGGACATGCTGGTACTAGAATAGAACTCATTGGACAATGGCTATTGAGATGATCACTGGATCTTGCCAGTGTTGAGGAGTTAGCGGAGACCTATCAATAGATGTTTGGCAAGGTAACTTAATAACACATGGGGCCTTGCTTGGATTGTGTTCTTTATAGCTACACTAACAAAACAAGAAAGGCCAGTGTGGTTAAATGGGAGGGGGGTCGGCATTCAATAGAAAACAATAAGGTGAACACTGAATGCCTGGTACACATGTTGTACTGGTACACATACAGTACATGGAGTAGATTTAGTGGCATGCATTGAAATAGCATGGTAATCCTTTCTCACATACAGGTGATTATTAGCAATTAGGGAAATCCCAGACACAGCCTGTGAATTACAGAGGGGTTCATTATCAGAGGATTTCATTATCCCTCCAGGAAGAGATGTTTATGGGTGGTTACCAGAAGAACAGAACATTTTTCATTGGTTGATCAGTGTGTAATAAAAATCAACAAGTCGTACAATTGTACTTTGTGCTGATTGGTTGAGTTCAAAAGAGTATATCTATATGTACATGTTAGATGACCAAGATATTGTGTGCGTTGGCAAATGTACATCCTCGGCAATTCATTAGGATGGCTAAAATCAGTGGTGTTGACTGAATGACTGCTCCACAGCGTTCCATTTGGAGCATGTTGCCTATATAATACTTGTTGGGCAATTATTTTTGTCTTTGCTAATAAAAATCAACAAAATCTAGTGGAATGAGCTAATTTTTGTCTACCCAATTCCCTTTGGGTGGTCATGATCCCCAACATTTCATTTTTCACCCATAATTCTCATTAGGTGCTAACTTGCTGCAAGAAAATTGGTTATAAATGCATAAATGTTTAGATGAACAATTTAAAAAAAAAAGGGTTGATTGCAAATGAATGTTTGATAATTTTTTTACATTGTTTATTTTTTGTATGTGTTTTTGAAAAATGGATTTTTGTAAAAAATTGAATGTCAGCTTGACTTTTTTTGTTCTACCCAGATAGGCTGCGGGGGTGGACTGTTAACACACTAGATACTTGTTGATCAAACCTACTAGCTGTCTGATTGGTCCAAGATGTCTGGGGATCAGAAGCAGCCTAATTGTTCATCATTTGAGAGGAATATCTCCCAGACTTCTGATGCTGGTGGCAACCTGTCTCAGCCACTGTCTGATGACACATTCAGTATGCTATGGTCGCAACTTGTTGGTGTTACAGACAATGGGTAAGTGCTTTTATGGAATTACCTGAATACAAACTTAAATGAGGCTCAGTGAACCTGTTGCAACTGCATAGATGCTAGCAGTTTTGCACGGGCCAACATTTTAAGGCATGTGTCTTGCTCCTGTGTATATCTTGTGTGCATTTAACTGCTGCACAAAACCAGTTCAGTGTAATAAGTAGCATTGTTAATAAAGCCCATAGCATCATGTTTGCATTTTGTAAAGGTGAACATGTTGATGGTAAATTTGTAACATCCTGCTTCCGGGTAACCGGAAGCAGAAGTATTTTTTGGGGGCCTAATCCGAATGAATTTGTCGCATTACACTTCCAGTGGATTTTGGCAATTCCGTAGGAAAAACAAGAATTAGTATAAGATTTAATTTTGAAATGTGTTAAATAATAGTTGTGCATTTTTTATTTCTTTGAATAGGAATATCAACTCTGTCTGTGCCAATCCTGTGGATTGGAATTTTTCTGAATTCCAAGGTGGGGATTTGGTGGAGAACAATGTGGATGTCTCTTTGCAGCAAATTGAGCTTGGTCCACAAGGTGTTCCTCTGGATATCAGTAACTTCACTCAGGTGAGTTATTAGTGATTGACTGATTGGTTATTTCATACCCCCAAAATAGATTTGTTATCTACATTGATCGAAGTTATCTATTTTTCTAGCAATAAAAATGTGATTCATTGTTGTTTAGTTATTGAATGTTACTTTACAAATGTGGAATTACTGGTAGGCTGAGAGTAATTCGGTTCCTGCGGAATAGGCTGATTGCCACCAACACGTAGTGCATGTAGTGCTGATCATGTATGGACCGGCAGCCATGCAGTCTGCTTACAAGGCCCATCTGTTTGTGTGCAAAATAAAAACATTTTTACAGAGGGTTGCAGCTAGGTTTTGTGATATTTTAGATATATTGTCATAGAAAACTGAAAACATTGTACAAAGTTTTGTGTGCTTGGCAATTTTCTCTTCTGTTTCAACTACAAAGTTGCATGCTGGAAGCCTGGAAAAGCCATTGAAAACTCCTGAGCTGGGAGAGCAATGAGCATTGACCTCAAATATCTGCTTCATTTGAGGCATTACTTTGTTCTTCAGTGTGTAGGATATATTGACTAGTCGTTCAACGTTTAAAAGTCAGAATATGGGGTGGGTGGGTGGTCAAAACAATTTCCAAAAAAAAAAAAAAAAAAAAAGTTATAAATTCTGAATGGCCCCTCAGCGGGGCAATTATTGTGCCCGAATTCTTGGACTTACACATATATGTATAAAAAACTTGCTTAGGTAAGTTTTCCTTGTGTGTAATTTGGCAATGCATGAATGATGAAGAGTGTCTCTACGATGAAAGCTGCATAATATTATTGAAGCACTGTTCTCGCCAGCATGAACACAAGAGGGCTCACTACATTCAGCCGATGCTTGTTGCGTTTTTCTCCATCATAGTGCCAGCCCCCCTACCATTATGAATGGTACAGCCCATTGTCACAACAACTTTATTGGTTCATTTACAGATTGGCAGTCACTCAATAAACAAAACCAGTTGTATTCAAATGAGATAACACTATATTTTTGACTGTTTCATTATTCCATATCAGTAGGGTCTAAATAGATCTACTGGACTCTCATTTGTGATCTAAACAAAGTTTATGGCAAAATGTTAATCAAATTAATTATTATTTACAAAATTGTATATAATAGTACATTCATTTAGTGATGTTATTTAAGAGTAAATACTATCCCTACAATAGATACAGTCCCATATTATGTACAGTGGTAATGCATCACCCCTATGTCTGGATAATGGTTTATCCCAAATCAGCTTTGGACAAGTCTGAGCTTGCCCGGGCTCTGTGTAAAAATAAGTTACCAACGCTCAGACCTAAATAAACCCATGATTTAAGGTCAGTGGCATGTGAACCACAACATCATGAATATGGAAATTCATGCCAGGATCCTAGAAATCTGGTTGGCTGATCGTTATCACTGTGATACAAATAAGGAAACTGCCTTGCTGAATATGGATTTCAAGGTCTTCCTTTGCTCATGCATATTCAAGTTACCTAGGCCAGGAAAGTAGTTCAGGCAGACTTGATGATGATGATACACGTTGGAATCGAAAAAATAAGGTATTTCATTTGGGACTTTACTAATCGAGGGAATGTCAACGGATAGCTACGACGTAAACCCTAATATGCAGTGGCTATGCAACATAGGACTAACGATGGTCAGAGAAACACAGGTAATCCTCGCCTTTTCTCACGTAATTTTTATAAGAATTTACTTTATAAGTTGTATCTCACACCTTTAATGTATTTTTAAAAAAGAATATATTGATTTTAAGAAGGAAGGAAGTTCAAACGAAATTGAAATTATTGCAACCTTTAACTGTTGTGGTGCAATTGACGTTGAGTATGGAATGCAATACTTTTGTCTGCAGGATTGCTTCTGAGAGCATGCAATTCTTTGTATTAGATTAATTAACTAAAAGTATTAAGACATTGAACTTGATTGGGGATGACATTGAAAACTTCAACATGTTTTTTTATGAGAAAATTGCTTTATTAAGGGGTAAAAGTATTAGGTTTGACAAGTAATTAGAAAATGATTGCTTAAAAAATAGTCTGTGCATACATTCTGTATCATGTTCCTTCAGTGTGGTTGGACTGAAGCTGGAACAGAGATGCTAATTAATTGGCCAGAAGTCAATGTTGAATCTTATCCTGACAATGCCAACCCTTAACTAGACAAAGTATTTCAAAAATATTGTTTAGTATGTTTTTAAAAGAAGTAATTAGATATTCTAAAATAAAAGATGCACATTTACATGTTGCAGAGGAACTGAAATGTTTGGAGTGCATGATTTGTCAATCATGCTCGGTAAAACTGGACAGTCAAAGGGTATTTTATAGCTATGACAACTGGGTATACGTGTAAGGTCAATGATTTACGTCTAGTAAAAATGAGTGGAATTCAGGAATTCTTCTTTTGAAATGAAATTGATCCCTTGAGTGATCAAACCCTAAATGTTTAAGTAAAGAAGAAGAAAAAAGGAGGAATTCCACATTACCTTGGAAACTGCACTACTTACCGTAATTTTCGGAATATAAGCCGCGCGGCGTATAAGCCGCAGCACGCAAAAATCTGCAAATTAAGATTTGAAGTCGGCGTATAAGCCTCACCGGCGTATAAGCCGCAGCGACCGCTGCGGTTTCAATTTTGTAAGCCCTCCAAATTCTAGTCAAAATGCTCTGAACCAGTTCCATTTACACTACAGAAGCTATTAAAAGGGCCACAAAAATTATATCAAATCATTTACAATCGATACTTTTACAAACAAATATGGGAATTGATGAGAAATAAACACCGGGAACTGCTGCCGGCTGCCCCGTCATAGCCCGGCGGCCTGCGCCACGCACGCCGGTGAATGACAACATCTTCCCACAGCACGTGAGAGAGTATGAAACCCACCGTGTGTTGTCTGACTGGAGCACTACAAATCTTGCTTTTGTGGCAACAGATGCTGATTTGTTTTGTCCTAAGAATAAACAGGTCCGTTTTTACCTCAAAACTTATCAAATTGTTGCGATTACTAACGAGTAGTTGCGAAAAAAATTCAAGTTTCGATCGTAACTTTCTTCGGAAATAGTCAAAACGAAGCGGACATTTTAATAGACGAACCATTAATTTTGTAAGGGGTGATTTAGTCCCTCTTTTGAGTTTTACATCGTTTCTTGAATACATTTCAAGAAAACAAAATATATTGTGACGTGGAACAACTGATTATGTAATAAATAAGTTTTTCGAACGTCATACAAATTTTAGCCGTCTTTTTTTTTAGCGGTAATATTGGTAATCATTGTTCCCAAGAAAGAACACCCCTTTATTACCACAAATGGTGTGGTCCACTGGGGGAAAGCATGCTGCATATCGCTGCTGCACTGTACCAGTATCACGTACGGCTAGTCCTAAGTGTCGAAGACAGCTTTCATCACCGTACTTTTTACCGCTCGGTACCTTTACGTGAGACGTGGTTTCGGTTTGTTAATGACTTTCTTAATTTATATTTCATTTCAGCAACACATCTCTACTTGTACCAGTACATTAAATACACATGTGAATCTTATTTTTATTCTTCAAGGCTCGGCGTATAAGCCGCCCTGTGTATAAGCCGCAGTAAACATTTTCATGGGCAAATTCAACGTATAAGCCACGGCTTATATTCCGAAAATTACGGTAGATTATATCTACCTTATGCAGCAAAACTGTCCGACAGATTGTTCATAATTTGTTTCCATGCAGTTGAACGACACGCCATGAAATATGAGACTTATATAGTCATATATGAGATTATAGTCACCTGTGGAAGGCCAAGATGTGTAAGCCATTCTGAATGTCATAGGTCAGTGTTATTCAATGTTTAATATGAGTAAGGAGATATTTGAGGAAAGGTATACTTTTAGTTAGTCCCAGTAACTGGGGCGCAATAACTCCTTTTTTGACATTTGGGAAGTTGGTCCGTCGTACTAGCGTCCCACTACAGAAGCAATCTCAATGTTGCAATTGCCTTGTCATGAAACATTCGTTGTTGCTTCCCCCGATCTACACGCGGAATTTGTGTTTTGACTCAGTACACGGTCGTGTCCCCGGCGCTAGATGCATAGACAATGCGTTGCTAAAAAACAGCCACAACATTATTGAATGATCGCTGTATGATGTCTGTGCTATAGTGGTTAAATTTCATGGATTTGCAACCCAAAAAATATTCGTGAGTATCATTGAAACCCCATTACTTCGTCTTTGACATGTGGAGAAGCCAGTAGGTGCTTTCAAAGGTATTTTTGTCAAGTATTTTGCATGATTTTTGTGGTGAACTTTGAAATTGCAACATTGAGAATACTTCCTTAGTGGGACGCTAGTACGACAGACCAATATCCCAAATGTCAAAAAAGGAGTTCTAGCGCCCCAGTTAGTGGGACTAATTTTTAGTAAGGTTCAGTGAGAATAAACTTCCTTGTGATTTAGAATACATTGTACCTTAATGCAGCTTTGTTTACATTTATACTGTCACCAGATATTCATTCCATTCAGATCTGTTTATGTTCAAAGTGAAGCTCTACTGTGACTTACAATTTCAGTTTCAGGGTGTGATATATTTCTAGAGCTTTAAAATGATTTTGTGCACCCAATGGGAATTTGGCATTAATTCAACATCTATAGGTTAGAGTTCTTAAAATAACAATTCCACTTGTAAAAACTTCCAACATGACTCTCATTTTTGTAAGCAAGAGATTTACATGTCATCCTGTGCATAGGTCGATGTGTGTAATGCAGGGACGTAAATAGCTTTTCCTCATGGAGAGTTCAATCCTGCCTGTAGCAGGCTGACAGACTGATCTGGGCAATGCTCCGGGCACTACCTGGGGACTGGCCACGGCTGACCGTGCGCTGCTTAATCCTAGAAAGGATGTCTCATAAGATTTGAGAGCTGATTGTTTTTGAAAAATGAATGAGATTTGTAATGTAACTTTGCATGGCGGTAGTGTAAACTAGTGAGGGTTTGTGGTAACTGTGGAGGAATCTCTTTTGAGAAGATGTACGACTGTGGTTCTGAAAAGAACCGGTTGGTTGTGAAACTAAAGTTCAAATCAGTATGCTCTGAAAAATCTGATTGTCTTGATGATAGGAAACATTAGGAAAGTTTTACGAAAGTTATAACTTAAAAAATTGGCCAGTTAGTAATTTCCTGATGGTAGTGTGTTATTTAGTAAAGTAGTTTTTCTGTTTGCAGGGAATTGTTGAGATTTTGTTAGTATGTTTTAATTTGTGACTTTTTCTTCACACTCTGTGCATGTAAAATGTGTGTCTTTTACAACGGACTTATCACAAAGGTCTTATTTTGATTTTTATTGTTGGTGTGTTATTTATTCTCATGTAGTTGATGATTTTTCCATGATAACTTACAAAATGTACATGTATTCCATGTGATCTGAAATGACCGTCCAGGAAGTAAAGCTTATCATAAACAACACACTGAAACATAGAGCCAGTGTACTTAAGAACCACATGTACATAGAAAAACAACATGGAACAATATTACATGTGTAGGGCATCTGGTGGAAATTAATCATGGAGTTTTAATGAGTGGTCTTCAACTAGTTTGGCACACCTCTTGTGTCAGCAAACCATTCCCAAATAGAACGCATTGTTTCTTGGTTGAGATTCGCATAAGAATTCTTTTTAAAATCACACCATTGCCTTCAGGATCAAAATATGTGGTCAATAGATGATCTTATGGTTTTTCTTCTTTGCATGCTAAGCTTCTTCATAACAAAGGGGCATCTGGGGGATGCAAATGGTTGGATGACCAGAAGCCAATATTGAAGTGAAATTTGGACTAGTCCATTGAGTAGGGGTGTGTGTCATTGCAGTGTCATTTTTGTTTGGCTGTAATCAAACATGTACCTTTACATTTGGTATAATGAGTACTGTTCATCTATTGAAAATACAGTTCCCCTGGTCAGGAATGAGATCGTTTTGATGCGCCTGTATTTTGATCAGGTGGATTCTCATGCTCTCATTGGGCTTTGCGTGCTTTCAGTGAAATATTGATCATGCCAATTGGTGACTGAATGGTGCCCAGACATGGCCTGTCATAGCTCAATGATTACGGACAATTTGAAGTCCACTAGAATTGGGTGCTCTACTTGATGCTAATGCTCACTGTGTTGAAGTGGGTCAAAGTACAATGTATGTGTACAGTGTAAAGTGAGTTGGGGATGAAAGATCACTAGCTGGACATCAACTTTCATGTACATGTTCTTAAAGAACAGAGGCAAGATGTTTATTAATACAGGACCAAAAGTAAAGCTTTCAAAATTAGTCAGTCGCTTGGTGGTAAGTGGTTTCCCAAAATGTTATTAGTTTTACTTAGGGGAACATGCTGTGTACATGTACATGTAGACGTGTACATGTACACCTTCATGTACATCTTCATGTACATTGACATGGACATGGACATGCACACGGTGTGTACGAATATATACAAACAAACTTTAACAGTTTATGGTGGGTCTTTTGATTGGTAAGAGACCCAAAATTAAAGTCCTTACTCAAAGTGTTGCAAAGACATCCAAAAGAGAAAAATGTAGTTTTGTTTTCCAGAACATGCATGTACCCAATGAAAATTTGTTTTGTGTCGTAACTGTTGACTTCTAGATTTTGTCTGTGTCAATCAATTGATTTACAGTACATATAACACATGATTGACACTGTTTTTCCCTATGGAATTTTGTAGTTAAATTGCTTAAATCCTCTAATAGTCTAAATCAGCCCGAAAGAGCTGACTAAATTGCACCAATCCCAAAAAAAATGGTACACTTTAAATGGTGATGCATAAATGGTCTGCAGACTTTGCACTCAGGGTTTGTTTTGGGGGTAGAACTCACTGAGACGATGGTTATTTTGCCATGTTAAGTCCAGTGTCAACAGCTTGGAAAACTTTCCTCTCAGTTACTTTTCCTGAGCCAAGTGACTACTTGTACCAGCCAAACTTTGTCCAGTAAAAGTGACCTGGTCAATTGTTTTTTTAATGTCCAGTGTAGACAGTGCAAGTCCAGTCCATAACACAGTACAAACAGCACAGCATGAAGGTCACACTACACAGGCACTTGCACACCGGCTGTGCATGGTTCTTCAGCTGGCATTCAATCCTTTCTTCATACACTTGCACTTGACTTTGTTTATGGAAGTCAATGAAGATTATGGACACTGGTCATTAACCATTTTAACATGCTTTGTAACAAGGCAGTATTAACTGTTATACGTAGCCATTCAGATTAACTTGTCTTGTTAAAATCTCACCCAAAAATAGTCCAATACAAACAGCTTACGAGAAGGAAACATTGTTACATAAAATAGAATGATTTGATGTTAATTGGTGGACCCACATGTAAGTAATTAAAAATGTCTTTTTTGTTCTTACTTTATTTGTTGTCAGACCCAGTCGTTCCAACCCAATATGTTGCCAGACAATGCTGCCCCTGGTCCTCCAATGTCTGAGTATTCCACTGATACGACTACTACCCCTCCACCTACCAGTGCTGCATCACAAGCCTTGCCCAGCAAGTAAGTCACATGACTCTTCACTGTACTACCCCCTCCCATGAAAAAGAAATGAAGCGAAAAAGGAATGCAGGATCTGTTCAGGTTTGCAAGGATAGTTTGTACGTGTGTCATAATGTGACATGCACGTAGCTTAAGACCATTAAATTTGCATAAAAGTATTGAAAAACTTCTCATCAAAAAGCACCGACAATGTTTTTGCAGCAATTTATTCCCAAAGTTATTAACACATGTCACTGAAAATGAAGCAAATTTATTATTATTGATTGATCAGCGTGCTTTGTTGTTTTTGTTATAAATGCTGATAATTAAACAGTTAATTGACACAAATTGCTTTGATTTTAGTGTGGACTACACAGGTGATTATGGATTTGAAATCTACCTGGGGCAGCCTACCTCAACTGCTGCAAAAAGTGTTAGCTGGACAGTAAGTAATTAACCTATGTCTGCTTAATGATGTACAAGACAAAAACACCAGGTACCAAGAAAAAGAGACCCTGCAAGAAACCAGTATTTACCTGTTGTTGAATTTGGTAATAATTATGTTAATTTAGAATATCAAAGTCATTTTAAAGATAACAGGTCTGAGGGCAATACGAGCTTCTAATTTGGCCAGAGGAAGTCTCTGCATTCGATTTGGATGGAAAACAGAAATGTGTTTAAATCTAACAAAAGTCTGTGCATTTGGCTGTGAAGGATCATATTCACCCAATGCTTTCATTTACAACAAAGCAAAGGTATTGGCCTCATATTGGATTTCTTGAATCCAGCAATGACGACTATCGCATTTCAGTATTCTGCACTTATATTAAGTACTGTGCCATTGGCTCGCAGCCATTGTGGCAGTTGTCTTGAAAATGAAAAAGTAAAAAGTATGAGCCATTGGGTTCAAGCTGCCATTACAGAGCTTGAATTAAAAAAAAAATAGTTGAGTAAAACAATAAGTGGTTTTCCAACAAAATGTTTTTTTGGAGCAATTCAAGGCTTATGGGATAAAAGGCAGAGGGGCTAGAAATGTGCATAAAAAGATTGGTTCCCATCTTTAATGAACTTTATAAGATTTAACATTCGCAAAGACAATTTATTTGTACATATGTAAGAGCACCTGGGGAACCCAGTGGGATTACATGCAGTAGTTGTCGGTAGTGATCTTCCTTGTGGAATGTGGTATTTGCTTCTCCAAATCTTAGCTATTAAATATTAGCCTGAAATGCTGATTTCTCTCCATCATAGCATTGGTTTGTATATTATAATAACACATTTTCCTTTTTTCATATTTTGTCTGATTGCAGTTTTCACCAACGCTAAAGAAGTTGTTTGTAGATAAGGACAAGGCCTGTCCAATAATGTTCAAGACCAGTCTGGAGCCTCCACCAGGTACTTACATCCGGGCCATGCCTATCTTCAAGAAACCAGAGTACGTACAGGAGGCAGTCCGCAGGTGCCCCAACCATCAAGGCCCACCATCAGGTCAGGAACTCTCAGTCCAGTCCACTAGTCATTGTTGACAAATATCGAACTACATCCGTCTACTTCCCCACCTCTGCTATGGACTAATCTGGCAATCTGAATTTGAAAACTTAAATGAGAATGTACCATGCTTACTAAGATTGTACCATAATGCATGGTCCTTACAGCGTTTCAGAAGCATCCACACCTCAAATTTAAGAACGTGTATGACCTGCACATAAACATTTCTCAGTTGTGGCTCATTTGGGCTGTCTGAGGGAAATCAATAGCCTGTTGTCTGTGTCTACATGTAGTTTAACTTATACTTTTGTTTCATGTTTTTTTTAGCCTGAAATCGCTTCTAAGGTGAATTTTCTTTCAGTTATCTGGAGCAGAAGTTTGATTTGAATCCTTGTTGCTATCCATCCATGTACAGAACGCTCAGCTCACCACCTCATCACTTGCTCGGATCCATCTGCCTTATACGATGAAGACACTACAACTGGCAGAATGAGTGTAGCAATGGCCTACAATATGCCACAGGTTGGCACTGAGCATACCACCTACCTCCTGACCTTCAAGTGCTTCTTATCCTGTGTGGGAGGATTGAACAGGAGACAGATTCAAACTGTCTTTACTTTGGAAAACAGGTATTTGCTCAGTCTTACAATCTGCGAACCATTACCCTATGAACTCATTGCCTAAACAAGAGATGGAGCATTTGAGTGTGCCATCATGTGCGAGTACTGGTTCACGTGTGTACTGTTAGTAGTACGTACGACTAATCTATTATGAATCTGCACTTACCTGTAGCGTCTTTATGTGAGCTTCAGGCACCATCAGCAATAGGCTGAAGAAATGTTCGAAGAATTCTCACCCAACTCTATTGTCATCGCCTACGGCGTCCGTCCGTCCGTCTGTCTGTCGGGCCGTCGGGCCGTTCTGACCATACCCCCCTTGTGGGGTGATGTTCCTTTCAGGACACATCACCCCACTATTTTCACAATAGAAAAACATCACCCCAGAAGAGAATCTTTAGAAAAAGGGATAATGGGAACACAATTCCGTCTGGCTGGAGCGTCCGTCCGGGCAGCTTAGTTTCCGGATGATAACTTGAGTGAGAAATGTTGTTTGGGATTGTAACTTCGGTAGGGGGTTGCCCTTGGGAGTAGGCAAGTTGGGATTGGTTTTGGGGTCAAAAGGTCAAAGTTCAAGGTCACTGTGGTGAGTTAAAGGGAAATGGTTTCCGGATGATAACTTGAGTTAGAAATGAGATTTTGATGTCTAACTTTGGTAGGGGGTTGCCCTTGGGAGTAGGTAAGTTGGGATTAGTTTTGGGGTCAAAAGGTCAAAGGTCAAGGTCACCGTGGTGAGTTAAATGTAAAAGGTTTCCGGATGATAACTTCAGCTAGAAATGAGATTTTGGTGTCTTACTTTGGTAGGGGGTTGCCCTGGGGAGTAGGCAAGTTGGGATTGGTTTGGGGGTCAAAAAGGTCAAAGGTCAAGGTCACTGTGGTGAGCTAAAGGTAAATGGTTTCTGGATGATAACTTGAATTAGAAATGAGATTTTGGTGTCTTACTTTGGTAGGGGTTTGCCCTGGGGAGTAGGCAAGTTGGGATAGGTTTTGGGGCCAAAAGGTCAAAGGTCAAGGTCACCGTGGTGAGTTAAATGTAAATGGTTTTTGGATGGTAACTTGAGTTAGAAATGAGATTTTGGTGTCTTACTTTGCTAGGGGGTTACCCTTGGGAGTAGGCAAGTTGGGATAGGTTTTGGGGTCAAAGGTCAAGGTCACAGTGGTGAGTTAATGGTTTCTGCATGGAATGTCAGTTTGCCCTTTTCGACAAACTTCGGCTGAGGGGTTTCAACAGCAACGCTGTTATTTTTAACCGTTGAGGGGGTACTTTTGTACAGATTCCATGGATGTGGCCAACTCCTACAACATTTGGAAGTGATTCAAATTAAATAAATCATGAAAGCTATTTGAAAAATGACCGTAATATTACTAATGACCTGTACATGTTAATCAGTGTGCAAGGTCATTGAGTGGTGTAATTCCTCTCTCATTAACAAATTGATCAATTATGATGTATATATTTTAAAGTGGAATTGTTACTACCGAGAATCAATTCTTCATAACACTGAAGTCTGGATTCCATCTCAAGTTCCATTTCCAGTGTCCCAGCCTGTTGGCCAGGACTTGTCTTTGGTTTACCTTGGAATTCTTGTAAACTTCTCTACATTTGCACTGGTCCCTTCAAGAACTTCATTCAAACCTATTCATTGAAAGCTGTTCAGCCTTTATAATATGGTGTAACTTCTTTACATAGACCAGCAAAAATAGCAGCTTTGGAACAAGTTACGAGTTTGTGCTGAGACTGTGCAACATGAATGACACCCAGGCTGATCATTGCTCAGCTGAAATAGTGCTTAGCACACTTGGTGGGTTCAGCAAAGCAAAATAAATCACTTTTTTTGTACGTTGCCAGTCACAAAATATTTGTAAAGAGTCACCTATAATGTTGTATATTGATGGTATATACCTACCGTTCATTTCCCAGTTCATTGTAAGACACAACTGATGATGTACTATTTTTGTCTCTCAGTGGCCAAGTCTTAGGGAGGCAGGTGATTGATGTAAGAGTCTGTGCATGCCCAGGCAGAGACAGGAAAGGAGAAGAGAAACACCAAACAGAAAAACAAAATAAGAAACCACTCAAACGGGGTGAGAATAATGGAATAATGAAGATTTTGATTGACAGTAAGCCCGCAATGATTATTTGGTTATTCCATACAAGCACATGTGCATGGATACAAGCACACATGTGCAGATGCAAGCACACATGTCCATAGATACAAGCACACATGTGCAGATGCAAGCATACATGTGCATGGATGCAAGCATACATGTGCATGGATACAAGCATACATGTGCATAGATACAAGCACACATGTGCATGGATGCAAGCATACATGTGCATGGATACAAGCACACATGTGCATGGATGCAAGCATACATGTGCATGGATACAAGCATACATGTGCATAGATACAAGCACACATGTGCATGGATGCAAGCACACATGTGCATAGATACAAGCAGACATGTGCATAGATGCAAGCATACATGTGCATGGATGCAAGCACACATGTGCATAGATACAAGCAGACATGTGCATGGATACAAGCATACATGTGCATGGATACAAGCACACATGTGCATGGATACAAGCACACATGTGCATGGATACAAGCACACATGTGCTGTCAGCAAGTAATAGGATGACAATGGGATCTTCAGTGGAAACTTAAAACACACTAAACACAAAGCTGTTTGATTAATACAAAAGATGTTTTTTGAAAAAGGAATCATTAATCATTCTGAAAAAAATGGAAATCATAACCAAAAAGGCAACAATCATTTGCTCAAAAAAATAATGGAAATTGTAAAAGAAAAGGGAAAAGTTTATTGTTAGAAAAAAAGAAATGATTGCTCATACAGGGGAAATATGATTATGTACTTGAAGGGCTTATTCAGAGCATCACACGGCATTTGAAAACTTGTGAATTTTATTCCCAAAATTTGTGTTGTCTTTTACATATCTTTGGGTAAATAATTGTTTCAGTTTTGTAAGAAGTCCCCTTTTGAAGTTATGTTCGGTTTGACTATTGCTACAGGACAGAGTAAAATGACCCAGTCATTCAGTGTGACACAAATAGGAGGCAAGAGGAAAAAGCCTGATGAAGAAGTGTATTGTATCATGGTAAGTCACGTTAACTGTGTCTGCAATATCAGGATAACTTATCACACAAAGTCATGTACTTCATCCCAGCCTATGTTTACTTCAAGTAAGACCTGGATTTACAATGTAGCTAATTTGCAAATTATCTCATTGGCCTGAAAATGTTGCAGTTTGTCATTGTTCCCCGTTTTTCTTAATCTTTCAGGTCAAAGGTCGTGCCAACTATGAGTTGCTAATGCGTATCAAAGAGTCACTAGAATTGATGTCATACGTTACTCAAGATCAGCGCAACCAACACAAGACAGACCAAACACGACTTCAGCAGCAGTAAGTACCCCCTTTATTAATATTTGTAATTGGAATAGGGGTGTCTAATTAGCCCTAACCTCACCTAAAGCTACAAAATACTACCTGTAGTAAGTACCCTGCTAAATATATCCAACACATGAAATGAGAACCCTGCTACTGGTATATGCAACCAAATGCAACAGTGGATCTTGTATCCTCCTTGGCACTATGATCCCTGCAACGAAGCATGGGACTTGAGTTGACTGCTAAATGCAACGGTTCTGGTCCTTTCTGTTGCATTCAGCAGATTAGGGCTAAGGAATACGGTAAGACTAAAATCTGATGATCTCAACTAGAAGCTTTTGCTTAGTGCTTTGCACAATTGTATGTGTGCACTTAATGCTCTTTTGACAAACAGGGAAGTAAAAACATGCGCTCCTCATCCTTAAGAACATGAAGGAAGGAGTAATATTTGGCATGAATCACAATATAGAGATGCATAATAGAGGGTGGTGAATGTCATGAAACAACAGGTTGCACCTTAGGAGTGAGGTTCAGTATTTACAGTTGAGGATTTGAAATTTACTCGTTGAAACTTTAAAACAAAAAGGTCGAAATCAAAACACAATTTGTCCGGAATGTTTAAACGGGACCCGCATTTAGAAAACAGATGGATTTGTAGCACTTATATTCACATGAACTGCCTTCCAGTCTCCTTTTTCTGAGAGTCTGGGATGCCTGTAAATTAAAGCATCACAAGCACCTTATTACTTGATCTCATCTCAGGATGTTAAAGTTATACACTTTTCAATGATCGGCAACTATCAATGGGAGACTTTTAGACGTTGGTGGCAGTGAACACACCTTTCCTTTTTCCATGGTTTGCGTCATATTGAGTATGCGCGCTTTAGCTTAAACGTGACGTAAACAAGTGAAAGGGACCGGTGTGTTTGCTGCCACCAATACTCAGAAGTCTCCCATGGAATATTGCAACAGGGCTAAGTGAAATGACCCAGTCATTCATTGTTACAGTAAGGTTTAGAATGTTTTGTCTGCACAGTGGTTAAGTACAGGTTCTGCAGTAAAATGAAACGTCAAGGGCAATGGCTATGGACGTACGCAAGTAAATTGTCATCAAGCATAATAAATCACATACCATGCCACACCGTTGCTGCTTTCCAGAATGGCCATAGTTTATGCATTTGAAGTCTTATTTACAGTCCCAATCCTATGTACAAAGTCCTAATAAAAAAAATTAGATTGGGGAATTCAAATTCTAAATGAAGAGTCAGTCAATGTACCAAATGAAATTCAACATGAACTGCTAGAAGATGTATTTGCAGCAAGTAAAGGCAAGAACCGAGGTGGATCAATCAAGGAAGTGAAGTGATTGGTGTCGCTTCTTCAGATTGTTTCCATTCAGGAATGCTGATGCATAATACAAGCAGAGCTGGCAACTTCTCTTGGATGTCTTTAATCAGAGCACAGCCAATGGTGCTACAGTTTGGGCCTGAGATTACAGCTTACCGCCTGGGGCCCTTTTGCCTAGGATGCACCCTCAATCCTGCAAACCCGCTATTTCTTGAATTTGTTTAGTGGAGGGGTGACCATTGCCTCAATTTCTATATAATCCTCCAACGATCACTGTCAAAGTGTCATGGGTTAAGGCAGTGTCGATGATATTCAGAAGCAGTGCGGATGGTATCCAGCGTAATGTGGGCCTCAATCATGAATGACTGAACATAAACAATGCATGGTCAACCTAAATCTTTGACACAATGCATCCTCCAAAATCAACTGACACTTTTTTGCCATTCAGCCTCAGTCCTCCGGGTTGATTTTGGAGAATTGAGGAAGGCTAGGGTTAATCAGATACATTATTGAAAGTTACGTTGATAAACCGTCTGGCAGTAAAATGTTGAGGGTCCTAGTGGGTTCCCCATGCCCCTGGGTGGGATGCCACACCCATATTGACAGTGTTGATATGGAGATGTTGAGGGTCCTAGTGGGTTCCCCATGCCCCTGGGTGGGATGCCACACCCATATCCAGAGTGTTGATATGGAGATGTTGAGGGTCCTAGTGGGTTCCCCATGCCCCTGGGTGGGATGCCACACCCATATCGACAGTGTTGATATGGAGATGTTGAGGGTCCTAGTGGGTTCCCCATGCCCCTGGCTGGGATGCCACACCCATATTGACAGTGTTGATATGGAGATGTTGAGGGTCCTAGTGGATTCCCCATGCCCCTGGGTGGGATGCCACACCCATATCCAGAGTGTTGATATGGAGATGTTGAGGGTCCTAGTGGGTTCCCCATGCCCCTGGGTGGGATGCCACACCCATATCCACAGTGTTGATATGGAGATGTTGAGGGTCCTAGTGGGTTCCCCATGCCCCTGGGTGGGATGCCACACCCATATCCACAGTGTTGATATGGAGATGTTGAGGGTCCTAGTGGGTTCCCCATGCACCTGGCTGGGACGCCACACCCATATTGACAGTGTTGATATGGAGATGTTGAGGGTCCTAGTGGGTTCCCATGCCCCTGGTTGGGATGCCACACCCATATCCACTCATTTTGTTTCTCTGCTTGTAATGTTCCAGGTTTCGGAAGGTGCTCAAAACCCTTCAACGGGTGAAACCGGGATCAGAGACTGGCACAGAAACAAAATGCATGGACTGATGGGTCACTGGCCAATGCTATAACATCCATAACAAGGGTCTGTTAACGGCCACCGCATCCTACACAGCAGAACTGTCATGATGAGTATGGGTGAAATAAGTGTGCTGATGTGGTACAGACCCAAGTACTCCGAGATGGATGTATAGCTCTGACATTATTTATATTGTACATAAGCAAATTGTGACTTGTGTGTGTTCCAGCCTCATCCAGGTAGATTATGTACATGTAATCTCTATTATGAGATACAGGTCAGTTCCATTATTTCCCAGAATACATGAATGTTAGATGAGCATATTCTGTTCTGAAACCAATTTCATGAAAAACATGAACAAACTTAGTGACAGAGTTCATCTGGAGAGAAAGCCTGTTGATATGAGACTGGTTCCACTTAAAGGGAATGTACATCATTGGCTTCCGCTGTAAGTTTCAGAAATGAACTAGTTGAGGGGTTAGTATAATAGATCAAATATTGTTACACTGACATTTTGGAAGTGTTGTGTCCGAAAATGCTGGAAAAACCAAGAAAAACAAAAATTTTCAAGTAGTCTGGTTCCCTGACTCCAATAAAGATGAAATGGATCAATTTTTAGATGCCACAAATTGTAAGGTAAAGGAACCAGTGTAGCTGGCCTGCACCCGTTCATGAACATGTAATCAATAGCAAACACAATTTGGACTGAAAAAAATAGTCAGGTTTTTCCAACGGTGGTCGGCCGACCACCGTTGGAAATGTATACAAAAATACCATTTTCTTGAAAATGTCTTCACACCAGGTACCATAGTTTTACAGGATGCTTTAGACTGTCATTTACCAACATACTAGTAAGGTTTTTCGTAAAAACTTGGTAGTTTTATTTTTCGATGTTTGCAAATGTTGTATTTTCCCTTTAAAGTAGACAGTGCAATGGAAGATGACCGCTGCACATATGACCTACCGGATTGCAGGCATACTCAACCTTTGAATTGTGTATTTGTGTAACCCTATTGGTTATGCAAAGATTCAAGAATTGTAATGATATCTTTTCCCCTGAAAACCTCATTAAATCGCATAGGAGCATAATAAGAAGCAGCCTAGCAGCCCTTGTGTACCAACCAAGTAGAAGATGCCCTAATATACATGTATATAACTTGTACATAAGACTTACATATATGCTGCCTGTATGTGGAAATTATCAACTATAATGCAATGCCTTGCAATGCTAAATATATAGTACCGCAAGTATTTTTGTGCTGAAAATTGGCTGGCTTTGATTCAGGTGTTTTTTTTTTCAATTGTTAGAAGTTTTATCCACTGTATGTTGCAATTATGATAGAAAATGTTGAAGCTCTTTCCAAGCAGTTGACCTATGGGTAATTTAGTAGAAGCATGAATGTATTTTTATTCCACAATGCCAGTTGGTTGTTGAAAGTATGCATGTTTTAATATTCTTGAGAATTGTAAATGCGATTGGAGCAATTTTCAGATTTGAGGCATGTTGGTTATAGATGCAGGCATGCTCAGCTGACGTTACTCCAGATCCCCTTGAGATACATTGATAATGTTCTAGGCACCCTACCTCTATCTTACAATAGTAAAGTGTGCATCTTAGGAACTCCAACAAAGTCTATAATGAGAGTTTCCAACCAGTGTAGAATGATCAGTTCCACTGCTGAGAATGACAAAGTCTCACACAATATGCCTACAGTTGGATCCAATTGGATTCACCATTGGTAAGGCCCAAAAAAAAAGTCTCCGGTTTCTGGTATGGAGCTTGCCCAAAAAGTGGTGCGGCGACGCGGCTTTTTTTTTTTTACCTGATTTTTTTGCTTCAAATGTCGGCTGATGACTGCAAATGGTGCCCGACTAAACTTAGTGCAAATATATGGGAGTCCAGAGAGGCCACATAAAGCTTATTCTCGGCCATAACCCAATCTAAATACACGTTACAATTATGCAGCAGCAGGATTCCAGTCAAACCAGTGAGTTTGGCGGTTTTGAGACATCATCTTTCATTGAAAAAAAAACTTTTTCATTTTGCCGACGCGCATGGCTACGGCGACGCGCGCGCATACCAGAAACCGGAGACTTTTTTTTTTGGCCTAAAGTGAATCATATTACTTTATCAGATTCTCTCTTGATGCTATTTTGACAAGTTGACCATCCAATCCAGCTACAGTGTGTACATTGTATTGTGAATGGTTTGATATTCATCATCGTTGGAAAAGCAGTGACCCCACTTGGTAGGTTTGTAGTTTCATGCCAGGAATCATGGCTGCAAGCAAGAAGTGAATGTTGGAATGGTTGTCTTTCCTGTTGTATGTGCATGCATCTGGTACGACTGTAGTAAATGATGTAAAATGAAATGGAAATATCACCAATAGTCCCTGGGTGTCACCTAACAATTTCCAGAGTAGCAATGGATTTTGCAGTGGATTTTATTGTATGTATTTGTACACGCAAGAAATCCATAAAATCTCAAAGCATTGACAAGAAGACAATTTGCATTCGTTGAAATTTCTGTGAAATTTCTGGCAGAATTTTCCACACTATTTTTTTAAAATGTGGATATATTAGCCAGTGTCAGCACTCAATGCCATTAGCTCTTCCTCATGCTATTGGAATACATGTCATTTGGTTGCTTTTGCATGATGATCAGTGGAAGGGTACACAGACTGCCAGTACTTTGACTGCATTTCTTCAATCATTTTCAAATACTCTGGTAAAAAGATAATTGTATATTGCCTCTTATTGCGCAAACTTTCCTCATTGTAATTTATTGTCAAGATGAGTTTTCCTTTCTATTCTGTAAATATATACATGTCTCTGTTAGTACACATAATATATCCTATTGTAATTTATAAATCTTATTTATTTTCACTGAGTGTATTTCCCTTTGTAGAATAGAGTTACTTTTTATGAAGAAATGGTTTGAAAACTAAATGTTGCTTTGTAATATTTTTTTTAATATGGGGTTGAGCTTGCAAGTTACAAACACATATTAGTTTTATGTATGTCTATGAGCCTTACACAGATGGACAAAGGGACCAAATTTGTTGAATGGATTTGACATGTACTTGGCTTGAAGTATTTTATGACTACCTCGTACATTCTGAGGAGTTGACTTAGAAACATGTTACACTGTGAAAAAGCTTCCAGTCATTCTCCATGTTTGTAGAAAAAAGTAGAAAACTGCCTTTCTGGAGAAATATTCCTTGCAAGGTTTTTTCTTGCATTCTGCTTCTGTTTATTTATTGGTCATTCTTTTTAAACATTTTACATTCAAACCACATGATGGTGGTGTGACATCTGAGAGATATGTGTGCATATAATGGTACAGATCTGAATTTTGCATTGAATTGGTCAGTTGGAGACTTGACATTTTTCAGTATGTATATATGTTGTCTTGTACATTTACATGTTCAACATGTAAAGTTAATGTAGATATTAATCTAGTTTGTTTTACTTTACAATTTAACGCAAAATTTTAATTCCAAAGTCCCCAATTTTATTTCAGACGGACTTTTTATATAAACAGATAATTATACATGTACATGTAATGTACTTCCACGTCATTCATGTGTGTATGCGCCATAGTCTTATCCCCCCACACGTCCCTGCGCGGACGCGGATTGAAGGGGGGGGTATAAAACAACCTGCTCTGACACCCCCCCCCCAAAAAAACCCAATTATAGTAGTACTAATCACAAATATGTCCACCAATCAGACAGAGGCATAGCCAGCAGGGATTAAGGGGTTATTTGCAGACTATTGTCCAATAGTGTGCATGATCGACCGATGTAAACAGCACTCCCATGTCATACATTTCAGCACTGATTTGCTAAAAACAAATCTGAAGGGCCTGAACCCATCCTCCCCCCACCCCCCCCCCAGAAAAACCCCTGGATCTGCCCCTGCTGCCCCTTTCGTTCCATTGTCTCCATTTATAACTGGTAGACAATGTAGTTTTGTGTCTACATGTACATGTAAATAAAAACAGTTAAAATGTTCAGATAGAGTTTTACCGTATTGTAACCTTTAAGTTCAAGTACATGTACATTAATGTTTGGAATCTTTGAAATTGTTTTGCCTTTACTTTTGTAAACATATCTTGCTGCTTCCTGTTTTGTGGATGTTGCAGAATTGAACAAGCACACATATTGCTTTCTTGACAAATTAGATTCAAATTCGGCAGGTGGATTTTTCCTAAGCTAGTTTTCTGAAAGAAAAAAAAGGTATTTGTAAATTCTAATCTCTCAAAAAGGAAAGTGGTTTGTGGAAAGTCAAAAGTCCAAAGAAAAAAAAGCAAGGTTTGAAAAGTTGAAAATATTCTGCCTCAGAACATCTTGTATATAATGAAGTGAAAATGCAATAATGTTTTACAAGCGTATGAAGAAAAAAAACAAAGGTCTGCTCACAGAGCACGTTGATTAAAGAAAAGATCCAATGTGTACTGGGACTGGGAGCTCCTTCATGTTGATTCAGTGTATCATGATTGGTCATTTCCATTGACGTACATGTAGTTAGAAGACCTGAGACGTAACCATGTTGAGCCTTCCCATGGAAGCCAGCTGGCTCTCTCCTCACCTGCATCCCATAACAAAGCCCACTTGTCAATCAGTATGACACCATTATGTCTCAGGTCTGTGACAGATATTTTAATAAACTGAACAGAGTACAGGTATTTCTTATTTTGTTTTAACTGTAAAATATCCCAAATTTTACCAATATGGATATAAATGTACAGTTTATTGTTGAACTGAACACTGCAAGGTTTGATTAAGATTACTGTCCAATTACTGCCCAGCAGGTGTGTTCACAATTACATTATTCTGTAAGATTCAAACATGTTTGAATGTCACCATTATCATGCCACTGTCAATCATGTGACTGACAAATGAAAGAAATGACAATTTGTACTTGCACATGCTGAAAGCATTGATGCCATAATACGTCTACATATGGCTTATTACAAATCATTTATTTGTAAATTTATATTATATAATGTGTGTGAATAACTAAACGGCATATTAATAAATTGATATTGATGGAGAACATAGCCGTGTGTTTTACATTGATTTCTTAATGTGAACAAGAAAAGTTTTTCGTGTCTTGTTTTTATAGTGAGGACCAAGGCTGAAGATAGACTTTCTGGGTTTTTTTGTTTGTTAGACTGAAATTCCCTTATTTACATGCATGTACATGCATGAGATCATGTGTTTATGTGTTTGACATAAAATGGTGAATTCACTCTAGAGTTTAATACACAGGTGGGGAGTTGAGTGCTAGACCATGGATTGACCTATTCAAGGGAGGATCCAGAGAGGATAGTGCCGGGGGGGGGGGGGGGGGGGGTTGAAGGGCTCTCTCAAGTGACCGTTCGTCACAGTGATTTTCAAAAGTGTTATGCTTGGTATAGACATATTTTGCATAGATTTTGGACATAAACATGATATTTATTATAGCCAAATGTTTTGTGTAGCGGTGTTCATTGTAGTGGCAATCTGCTGCATATCTGATGCTTTGCTGGGGAAAAGTGTCATCGTTATCCATTGTAGTTCTTCATGGGCTGCAGTTCAGTATGTTACAGACTTTGTCATTGCTACCGCAAATCTGAATGAAACTCTACTGTTTGTTTGTTATTACAGAATTCACAACATGCCACGATTCAGCTCCTTCCCTAGCAATGCCTCCCAGCAACAAGGAGCGTCACCTCCTAACAACCCACCACTCCTGACCAATCAACCCTCCATCACATCCCAGATGGCTGGTCTACACAGACAAGACACCCTGCCGTTGCACACATTTGCCCGTCATCAAACCCCAAACACCAACCATGTCCATGACCACTGTGATGGACCATCAGCCATGGAGGTAGACCACCAAGTCAAGTTCACTGAGGATGTAGTCTCATCACAGGAAATCAGCAGCAGTCAGATGTTAGCAGGTCAGAGTTCACCAAGTGGTCAAAGGTCGGAGGATCATGCCGGATTGGGTCAGGTGGCAGGAACTAGTCAGGTGTCTCCTGTCGATAGAAGTATTGGCAGGTTAGTCAGCAAAATACAGGCTATAGCCATTCATTATTGAGTGATTAATAGTGTGATAGAGCAGTTAAAACCAGTTAGGTGCCTGGCTGCCAAATGGCCAGGGCTATATTTTATTGATATATGTGGGGAACCGCCAATAATTTAATCATAATTAACCATAACTCCCCAGCCTAATTTACTAGGAACCGTACCCATTCTGGCAAATTCCAGCACCCACATGGGAAATTGTGCACACACACTGTTGGACTTAGTTTCTGGAGGTATGCCAACCCCAGTTGAAAAGACCAGCAGTTTAGGGCTACTCTACCTATCCCAACAGATTTAAACAAAACCTGCTGTTGAACTTTGATGGGTTGAGTTCGGTTAGGGTTAGTGAACTTGTATTGCGCTCTCTCCAGGACCAGCCTGTTTGAGAGCGCATTCAATTAAAATTCCTGATTAAAAATGATGCAAATACGAAAAAGTTTACAAGTTAGCGTAAATTTTAATCAAAAACACTAAAAGACATAAACCTTCCATCAAAATTCTGGTATAAAGGCTAAATTTTCCAGCCAACTTCTGACATACAGCCAAACACCACAATGACTGATTTGCAAGAGTGAGTTTATCAGTATTTGTATGATTTTTTTGCCGAAATCTCATGTGTTTCAATACGCCGGGTGTGCACTGGAGCGTAAATTGCACAACAGTAGGCCGTTCACAACGGCCAATTCAAGATCAACATACGGTCTGCCTCCACAGACTTTGTGTGTTCAAAAGGCAGAAAGGGATTAGTGTGTTTAGACGTCACCCGCAGGTGAGTTGAGGCAATCTTGACGTCTTAACCCGCCAGCCGTGCCTGTGTATAAAAACAGCCAGTGCGTGTTACTATGTCCTCTGATGCAAACTGGTTAAGCATCACAGTTATAACTGCTCCATCACACTTGAATACCCATTCATAAATACATCTTAGGTCAAAAACCATAAAAAGTTGGAAAAATATTTTGCAGACTTCCTTTAATATTGTTCAACCGTTTACTCTGTGTAAAATTGATTATGAGATTCGTGTGTTTGTGTTGCAGTTGGTTGGGCAGCCTAGGATGTCAGCAGTACCTTGATATCTTCAATAAGAAAGGAATACGGACCATTGACCAACTGGATGAGATCAACTTGGAGGTGAGTCTTGATTAGCAACTGACATTGTCATGCCAAGTCTTACAACATGTCAAAGAAGTGTCTTGCTCTTTTGTAATGATACAGTTTGTGCATGCCTAAGTGAGCATTGTTAACATTCAACCAATAAAACGGTAACAAAAAGGCACTGTATTTCATTGGAGTCCAAATTTCATGTGACACGTGAAAATTGTTTATGACAAGCCAGCCGGTCTTCACCATCCGTTTAAGACCGGCCATGTGACAGGCTCTCGACCAATAAGAATGGGTAAATTGTCTTAGGCATTTATGAATCAAAGATATTTGAGAGATAAGAATTAGTAAGATAAGATTCTGCCATATGAAAATCATCACAAAAGTTCAAACAGGCTTTTACTCAAAAGTTTCAAAGAAATGCTGCTTCGTTTTTGGTTGAGAAAAATGACCTCATCCTAGTGACCCGTGTCTTGGACGTACTTGCCCAAAGCGAATTTGCGTATAGACTCTAGAATGGGGCTTAGACTTGGACTAGATGTCTGATAGAATATAATTCTGCATGTTAGCTAATGGATTGTTTGTCTCTGTGTTGATGTTAGCAGGACTTTGCCGGTATTGCCATGCCTCAACAACATCGTGAGAAGCTGTGGAAGGCCATCCTACAGCTGAGAAATCCAATCTTCTTGACCAGTACGCCCAGCAGTCTGCTACGGACAGGCAGCAATGCCTCCACGGCTAGCTTGGGTGGTCTGTCAGGGCTGTCTGCATCACAGGTACAACGCATCCAGGCAACCAGATTCACCCTCAAACAGACCATGTCATTTCAAGTCAAAGAGGAGAAGGAGGATACTTAACGGAGTCATGCTGACAGTCCAGACCAAGGAGTAGTATTACAGCCCACTGGCTGGTCAAACAATGGTTGTTATGCTGGAAATGGAGACGGGTTGATATCAAAGTACATATACTGGCAGAAGTTAAAGAAGTTGCTATAAGCGGTGGGTTCAAGGTCAGTAGGTTATCTGAACAAAGATCGTTAGGGAGTGTACTGTACAGCTGGATAAAATAGCATTTTTAACTTATGCTGGAAATAAGCATACATGTGCGCAATGAAAAACACATTGTATGAAAGCAGATGCTGGAGTACATGTAGTAAATTACTTCAGTCTCAGGTAATAGTCGTCTTAGGGTCATCATTGGATCCAAATTTCATTGATAAGGTGGTGGCAATCATGTAAACAAATTGTGAAGTCAAAGATGAGATGATCTGTACCACAGAATGATTGCGAGACATCCCAATAGGCATCAGTGATCAGTGTTTGTCTAATATTGGTTGGGATATTTATTGTTCAATGTATTGCATAGAAACTAGCCACACCTTGTTATCTCCCAACCCAGTGCATTGAGGTAACCAGCACAACTTATCGACTTTGTGGGTCCAATGGATGAACAGTAGATGATGCATTGTGAGCACGCTGATAGATCAGTGTGTGGGGCATAGCATGTGTGCACTGCTTCATGTGCATATGATGCACAGTGCACACAGCTGATTTGATTCTGAATGTTTACAAACCTGCACCAACCCTTATTATCTTGTTGTACAGTGGGATAGCATTCAGTAATAGCCTGCCTACGTGTAACTCTCTCCATTTAACCAATGAGGGAGGACGTGTGCATTGAATCAATGTTTTTGGAGCCGCTGTACAAGTACAATCTCCTGTCAATACAAAGGCAGAAGTGGGGCTGAATTCATAAAACTGCTGCTGAACGTTTCGTCGTTACAAAACCGGGTTGTTTTCATGAACTGACACCCGGCACAGTGCGGCACTTCTAGCTCGCACTCGGTACATTTTCATTTTCAAGAACTGACACTGATCTTAATTTCACCAATTAAAACTTTTTTTAATTAAATTTTTGTGTAAGCCCACAAGGATACGGATGGATTAAATTCCTGTTAAACCTTTTCAAAACATTTTTCTCCATTCTTCATTGCCGCAACAAGCTTGGGTTTGTGAAAACGAAAATCGTTCTATTTTGCGTCAGTGTCAGTGTAATGGTTGATTATGCAGTTTTCAGGAACTGGCATCCACTTGCGCGTGAGTGTCAGTTCGTGGTGTCGGTAAATTTCAAACCCATGACAGATTTGCTCAACTTACAAAAGTAATGAGCCAAAGAGTAATGTGATACATAGTGCTTGTAATTTTGGTTCAGCTGATTTTGGGCCAAGCAATACTATGTGCTTGGGAGATAATTGTACATGTATGTTAAGCAACATACTTACTTGAATGGAAGCAAACGTCTTTGTATGCATTTCTCTATGGGAGAGAATGCTGGATGTTAGGGGAGAATGTCAAATTGAACAGTTGGTATTACTCAAGGTTACCCTCAAGGTTTTACAGGGTTCAACTTTGAGTTTACCACTTGCTTATTTCATTTTGCATTCTTCCCCAAATGCTACCTCATAACTGCAGTTGGCAGCTACAAAGCTGTTGACAGAAACACACCATGATTATAATGATTACATGACTTGACTGCGTAGCAGTTGTATTTATTTTAATAATCATTTCAACTACATGCATATCTTCTTGTGGATTGTATGCAGGTAAATATGCAAATTATTCCTTGAAAGATTCATTGACGACCCATTGTTGGAATTTATCATTGTAACATGTAAATGTTTATGTGTGTCTCCATATACAGGTGATGTGTGCTTAAATTCAAATGGGAAGAATATTGCATGTGTTTATGGCCAGTGAGCTTGTATAAGCTGGTACCACTCCAGTGGTATTTTGTTTTGTTAGTTTGGATGATTTGGTAAAAAGTGACAAATACTGAGGATGAATAAGTTGTACTTGTGACAGTTTTCTTCCTCTTTTGGAAATGGAGACAAATAAAACAGGAAAGAAATGTTTGTATTTATAATTCAGGTAAATGTAGCTAGAAAAAAATCAGAAACAATTTAATGTTTAGTAGATATCTACGGAGAGAAACAGATTTGTGTACTATCAATATCGCACCTTAATGATGGCTTTTTGGTAGATTTTGTAGACGTTTTCTTTGTTTATAAATTCATCTAAATTTATAAGTGCACCTGATCAGTTGCTGTCAAATTGCTGTAAACTCTTGATACAAAGCTGTGATGTTCTGAATTAAGATTCCCTGAAGAAAGAAAGTAATTTTCCCCTTAAATCATTTGACTACTTCACTAATTTTGTAGAAACTGAAAAAAGAGACTTGCATTAGTCGCATTAAGTGTAATTTGTTTTGAATGGTTAGGTCTAAAATGTTTGGGGGATATTCGTACATCACAACACCCCCCCCCCCCCCCCCCCGAAAAAAACCACTTTTTTTTCATTATCTCATTTTCAATGGAAGTTTGATTCCTTTAAAAGTATTAATGCATATTCTAAATTTAGTTTCAGTTAACTTAATGCCATTTTCTTCTAAGCTGTAAATATTAATGTTTGGTATGGGTAATGTATACTGATAAAACATCCAGGGCAAAATAACTTAAATATAAACTTTCTTTTTCTTATTTTATGTTTTGGACGTTTGTGTTAAAATGCTATGTCTCTTTATGTCCACAGGTTTTACATGGGTGGTAGAAAGAAGGAAAAAACGTGCATTGATGAGGATTTGCTCAAGAAGTTTGTAAATTGTGTCTTGGATAACGAGGAGTTTGTAAAAAGAATGTAAATAAATGGATCTTATTTTTTCTATTGTTTGTAAAAGATCTGTTACAAAATGTTTCCATACAAGATAAGTGGAACAGAGATTGAACTGATTAACATTGTACAATTATTAACTCGATAAGAAAGCTTTAAGTCAAATTTCTTTTTTGCCAACTGTTTTTTTATATTTGTAAAAGTGTGTAGCATCAGCGAGTGGTACAATGTACTAGTTTTAGTTTTGTATTGTATGTGTGTAATTGGGTAAACCCGTTCTTGTTGAGTAGTATGCCATTATATACTCAGCAATGCCCTTTGTACACCAGCTTGGTATGTGACCTCCCAGTTCTCATTTAAAAACCGTAGTTTGTGAGTGGGTTTTCATTAAATGAAAAGAATTATTTGTTTTGATATGTGACAATCCTACGTATCAAATTTTTTTTTTTTTTTTTTTTTTAAAGATCTACGGCCTTTTCTCTGACATTTTTCACAAGAGAAATGTGTCCAAAATGGAGTGGACTTTGTGGTTCTTCATTGATATTGAAGGTGTGATTGTCATGGAATTGTACACGTAAGAGCAAGTTCAGGCAAGGACCATTAGTCGACTAGTGGTTGATTTATGAAGTAACTTACGCCTGCACACTAATAGCAAATGCTTCTAGTCAAACGATGGCCAAAACGTCACCACAGACTGTCTAGGACCTGGCTCCCTGCTGTGCTTTATGATGTGCATGGCTATTGGTAACCAGTAGAGTAGAGTAGTCCAACCATCCTTCGTTCAAGCAAAGTTAGTTTAATTATGGTTAATCATGGTCACACCTGAACCTGCTCTGAGCTACATGGTGTACCATTTCTGACCTGCTGTACATTGTTCCAGAAACTGAGGCCTGACTTTCCTGCTGCATTATTTTTAAATTTGATTAAATTACCTCTGAATTTGACTGAAATCTGTAGAGCTGCATGACTTTGGTACTGATTCATTGAACTATTTTTGTATCGTGGCCCCCACAACAATAGAAAGTTAGGAATTGCTTTGGAATGTGTCAAGTATAGCTTTACAAATATTCCCCAGGATACAAACTAAACATGCATACAATGACGGAATGAATCAAGGAATGTCTACTTTGTCTACGTTATCTCGCAAAGTTCTGTAATTCACTAATAGACTGTCAGTGTATTATGAAGTGTATCATAAAAACAAAATTGACATTCAATTGTATGGTTTTTGGTTCCAAAATAAAAGTATAAGGTTATTTACTTGAACACTTGAACACTGTTGGTGTAGTTGTACTTTAAAGGGTGGTTTATCAGCTTTGCATTGAAAACTTACTTGCATTTCTGCTGTTGGGAATTACTTCGCAACATTTTCGTAAAAAAAAAACAGAAAGTAAAAATCATCTTTTGTCAAGTTGGGCTGATTCTGAGCAGTGAGATACTGGCTGTCAAAACAAAGTGAGGGAAGGAGAGAGCCCACACTCTTCACAGCCATGTGTGAATTGTATTGATTGGCTAGCCCAACAACAAAACTTGGCAACAATAAAACAGTTTGGAGCTTGAGTTTGAAATCAACAGTGCTCTGTCATCCATGACATCAGGTATACAAGGAAGGTATCGCAAGGCTGCAGACCAGTAAATCGGTCCGAAATTGCCTACGCTGGTCAAATCACAATTTGCATGCCCTCAATTTGTTCGGTATTTTAGCATATTGTGGGCCATGAACTTGATGGTTTGTACAAAATATGGATGAAAGCCGTGCATCGTATTTCTGTGAAATGTGGATGACGATAAGGCCCTAAAATGGCTCTATTTTGCACTGGAGCGTAGGCGTCCATTTTCAAAATGGCGATGGGCTTCAGGACTGCTTTTACGGGTGATCATCTTTGGATGGAATTTTCTCCCAAAAGTCATTGGTTACCCCCCAGAAAATTGAACAGAAATGAAAGATGATGAAATAAGCTTTAATTTGATGTACGTCTTGAACACCTCAGAGAGTTGTATTTTTCCTGAATTTCTGAAGTGGAGGCATTTATCATTGGAGTCTATGGAAACTTATTTACTGGTCTGCAACCTCAATGGATGAACTCATTATTACTTTGATACGGCCTGTAGATATGACCCAAAGTCATTTGTCTATTGATGTGGGGATGTCGTAATGGTGTACTTGACAGCAACATTAGACTTTTTTTTAACATGAAATGAGATGCTGCATCTCTGTTTATATCAGTAGTATGTGCTTTGAAAAGGCAAACACGTGAGAGTTGCGATTGACATAATAGTTGCCTAAGCTTCAGACTGGCCAAGGCTGAAAGACATATATTTGTTTGTAAAAAAATGTTGAGAAATGGAACAGAAATTGAAGTCAATTCTAATTTTCAGTTGAAGATTTGGCGATTTTGCAGGATTATGATACTTTAAATGATTTCCAGAGATAAAGGTTAATAAAAATGTACAGTGAAAAAATTACATCTCAATGTTTGAAAGTGTGTCGTGTATTATTAAGATATGTGATGGGTCATTATCAAAATTTGATCTACCTTGATATACCTGAAAACCAAAACATAAGGTATTCCTGCAAGAGTCATCAACACACAAGTCGTACTTGAAGTCACTTAAGAGTACCACAGCCACAAGCATATACACCCATCGCTTCCTAATCATTTCAATATCTTGGCAATAAATATCCGTAGAATTGTTTAAATTTACATTGCAGTGTAAATTGCAATGCATTGTTACCGCTCTTTGAACTCAACTGTGCAAAGGTTCTAAACCCGTCATCCAGTATTATCTTTACCCAAGTTTTATTTTGGTACCCTGCCCAACGACCTAATGCCTCAATAGACAGTAGGTCTGGTAACCATCACTTAAAAAAATAGGCCGTCTCCAAAACAGGTTCCCCCGACTACAAAAACTTCTATTGTCAGCTAGCTCCCACATAGTTGTAATAAGCAGAGTTGTAATGAGTCACTGATTTTTGTGTGACTTGAGTTGAGTCGAGCCATTTTAAAGAAGTGACCAGAGTCAAGTTGATTCATTACGTCAAGAAGGTCGAGCCGAGTCGAGTCACAGTGTGTAGTCGAGTCGAGTCGAGAAGGGTAAAATATTTAGCTAGAGTCAATTCGAGTCACAAATATTTGAACACTATATAACAAATAAAGAAAAGAGAGAAAGTCGTTTGTATGCACAAACAGTACACAAGAAGTAAACCTTCGGTCTTATAGGCTATCTGGTTTGGCTGCGGGTCTAGATTTTTTTTTTATCTGATCACTGACAACATCAAAACCAACATGTTTCGTTTAAACAGATGATATCAAATGGATTTGTAGACATCAATATCTTAAAATGGTCGAATTTAGTAATAATACTTTGTACATTGAGGTTGGCAAATGAAAAAGCACCTGCACTTTGGTTGTGAATGATGCCATCTATTAACTTTCAATACAAAACCCTTTCTGATTACATGTATTTAAAAGTGGGCATGTATCCATGTACATGTATCCATTACATTTATTAAAGGAGGGCATAAATTTAGCCGGTGTTCGAATCCAAGAGCTTAAATAAGAAATCGCCTAAAGCCCATGATGAAACTACGAATTGAAAAAAAAGTGTTTAAAAGTCTGGTTCCTGGATAGCATTTTGTGCGTTCCGGAACCTCAAGGGTGGGAGTCTGTGACACGTATGTTTTTACACGACAAGTGGCTGCTGTACTGAACTGTATTCGCAAAGTGACATGTTTATGAACATAAATTTTGCACCTTAAGTCATTGCAAATATTTTTTTGCAAAGTTTTGCTTTTATTTTTGGGACTCGATCGAGTCTTTTTAGCCTTCGCTCGAGTCGAGTTGAGTCTTCTGATGAGGGACTCGAGTCGAGTCAAGTCATTTGCTCACTATGACTCGAGTCGAGTCGAGTCATTTACCCATAGGGACTCGAGTCGAGTGGAGTCACCAAAAAAATGTGACTCGAGTCATACAACTTTGGTAATGAGTGAAGACCTAGACAATGGCTCGAGACAAGAGATTCAGCAAGTACCTGCTCATCCAAAGAGCATACTTGAGGTACAAGGCCTAAATGAACATTAAATACAGTGGTAGATATTACGGGTTGTATCGATCAAAATTTTCTTGATTGATTATTATTATGACAAGAATTATGTTAGAAAATAAAACCATTTTACTCCCGTAAATGCCCAAGCTATTGCAGACATACCTAAGTGTCAACAAACGTGTATGGGAAACTTTAGACATTTTCAGAAGTGGGCAGGATTAGTTCTGCTTGTTTTGGTCATGTACGGTGGCCTCTACCTGACCTAAGATTTGTATATCAAAGTCACGCTAGTCTGCTACATTATCCAGAATAACAAACACAAATTGAGTTGTCACTCGTCCGAGTTGCAACTTTGTTTTTATTACATTAATGATACACCACCATAACAATATCACACTTGCTTGTTATGTCATCTCTGGCATTTTGTAGAGCATTTAACTTCTATGTACTGGATAAAGACACGTCCACATTTACAATGAGTACAAGATATGTATCAGTGGGACTAAATGGTAAAGCATTGACCAACATTTGCACAATACGTTCAGCCTTAGGTACTAAGTTACTGGCACAAAGCGGTCAAACAAAAGGAACACATTGGAAAAACACATTCGCTAATTTTTTTTTTACAATATACATATTGCAGTACACCTTCACCCTTACACTCAATTGTTAATTCTATAGGTTATAATATAATTTGGAATGTTTATTGGAATAAATAGCCAATTTTGGTCATACAGGTATAATTATTTATGTACCAAATACGGAAATTACTTTTGCTACATTGGATGGCATTCTTCAATAAGTAACGTTGACAAACATGACCAAGCCCACTGTATTTGTACAGCATTACAATTTAAGGTTATAACAAATGATATTAATAGCACCTTATAATTTGTGATTCTCATTTTACTTCAATAATGTATATTTTTTATAAAGGGCAGAGTTTCACAAAGATAGTCCCTGCTTGTCATGCCCCATGAAGCATTCCTAAGACAATCGTAGCTCCCTGGGGAGAACAGTTTACAGCTCACCACAGTTGGTTGGTAACTCTAATTCAAATATAATGTCCTCCTGTGTCTTATACTACTCATTACGCAGAGAATGATAAAGTGACTTACTTATACAAGGCAAAAAGAAAGTGAGCAAACCAGCGTGCAATCTGTAATTCTCACTCAGCTCAATAGCTTCCAATGGCATTCCATGGACAACTATAAAAAATAGTTAGTAAAACATGCATACCTTCTGATAGCACTGATCAATTTCAGTAATTCTTTTTTTTTTCAGATTGAGTGAAAGAACAAGCTCTTTTTAAGACATGTTTCATTGGTGTATCAAATTTGATTACTTAAAAAAAACACCATTAACTCAGGTCACTTTCTTTTTGACTCTCCCTGTATTAACATCACACATCTCCAGAAATGTCCACATGATGACACCTATGTACTGGATCACTAGGCAGTGGCACTCAACCATTATCATCCAAATACATATGCTACATAAACTCAATTATATTCACATGCTGATTGTCAATTTTCAACGTAACTTTGACTTAACAGTAAAATTTAACAATAATGTAAATTTAAATGGTAAAAACAACTGTTCAAAATCATGTCTTATCTTGCTGCCTATGTGGAACAACATGAAACCAAATGGAAGCAAAGGAATATTTCTATTCTGCCAGTTTGATGAGATGCCAGTGTCAAAAGTCATTCCCGAAATAAACACCATGCTAATTGTTTCAGGGCATGTCTAAGGACCCAGCCAGTGGCCATAGCCAGATTGGAACCCCAACCACTAGACCTAAGGCTAAGCAAAATGAAGTTATCAGTGAGATTAATGCTTATACAACATACGCTACGTAAAACATCCTTTAATAAATTGTATCTGATAATCATATTAAAAAACATCAATACCTTATTCCTGAAAGTCCAAACAATTCACCCAAATCCCTGAATCCACATAATATATTTAAAACATTGATTTCATTGTTTCATCTTTGTGTGACCATTCCATGCATAAAACCTAAATCCACTTGTAAATGAACTCTTCCTAAATAACTTTCTTTAATTTCAAGGAAACGTGTGACACTTTACTGTTAGCATATATGGTACAAAAATAATGTGTTTTTTTCACAATTTTTTTTTTTTACAGCTTTGCTCTGATAGCACAGTTACGGTAGTCACTACATATACATGTACTTACAAACATTGACATATTACTCAATGGGTGCTAACTCTATGGACAAATGTGGTTTTCAAAACTTGAAGGGTTTTGAAGTGCAGAAGACTAGGAGGCTTCCAGCATTACTGTATCTATGTACATGTACTGTAGTATACATGTACTGGTTCAACTCACATCATTACACTAAACATTAGTCTGGTACCATACATCCCTTCTGACTTGCTCCCAATGTTATATACACTATATTACACTGTGCAGTACATTGAGCCATCACTATACCCAATATTACATGCATCCCCAAATGTCAGTGATAGTGGTGTTCTTGTGTACTACTCTTTCAAATATCTCACAGGAATTTTAACAATAAAGTTGTTTTCTTTCTTTGGCAAGCGTTCAATAACATCACATCACATCAGCCAAGAAAGCATCTGAACCAACTTAGTAGTATTTTGAATCAGTGACTGATACAATCATCTGTCCATTCAACTCAATTGGAAAAATGTAACAATGGCAACCATTTGTTGTCATTTCAAATTGGTATTTGTATGCGTGTAAACCTATTTTGGTTATTTTATGGTGGGTTAAACTAAGCAATAAGCTTCAATGAATATCTTCAGGCCAAAATCTATTCAAAAACATGTTTTTCTTTTTACAAAGCTGCAATCTGCTCTGGAAGCTCAGTAATGAATATCAAGGAAACAACCTTTAAAAATGAAGCAAGCAAAATAGCAGCATTAAATACTTTTGTGTGCATTGTTATATACAGCAGGTAGTTTGTTTTCAAAGCAAAACTATCTTCAAAATATATCCAACAAGGCTCTCTACGTTTTAGCGTATACATGTATGTAACTATTCTTAGCAATATTCAGACTATTCATAAATCATCTTACTAAGAGTGATGTTGAGAATCTAAGGATATCTTGGCAATATAGCAGGGATACCACAACTGTATCGGGATGACATGAAAGGGAATATCATGCAGAGATGGGGGATGGAATGGGGGAAGGGGGGGGGGGGGGGAGGGCACCCCGGGGTGGGGGAGGGAGGTGATTCAGATGCTTTCTTGACTGTTGAGAAGTCAGCTTGATGAGCCCTCAGCCTGTATGATATTCTGTGGTTCATTCCTGTGACTTCTGCGGAAGGAGCTATGATTGTTGCTGTCTGCTGATCTCTCAATCGCTCGTCGTATCTGTCCAAGAGCAAACACATTGATGATAGTAATACAGGATGATTAATGCTTCCTACACACATAAAACCCCAGACCAATGCTGCATGTATTGGGGGAGAGGGGGACATGTTAACATATACCCCTCACAACAATACATTGGCCTTTTGTATGTTATATTTTTTTGTGAGAAGAAATGTTAAAGACATTTGGTGGGAATGTCTAGGCATGTACCTTTCTGGCAAACTTGATGTAATTGCAAAGAGATGCAATGGGCCAAATTCCTTATAAATTCAATTTATGCTTGCATAACTAAGTATGCATTGGAGCAGAAGCACACACGGACAAATGTAAACAAAATGAACAAATTATAACAGTACAAACAAATTTGCTATATTGTAATTTTTCAAATTCTATTGTTTTGCTGTTTGATGGGTAAAACCCTCCAGAAGCAACAGCATTATTGATACACAGCCAATATCAGTGAGGAAAAGGGGGGGGGGGACAAAATAAAAGAATTATTCCTTTCGGTGAGATCTGTCTTCCTCTGTTATTCATGGAATACTTATTCTCAGACTACAACTCCACAACTGCTCTCGGTTTGGGAGGCTTTATCATAGAAGTTTGAACATATTAACAACATTTGAGACCAGCTACTTGCTCAAATATCTGCTAATAACCTGTATATTCAGCAATAGGGAAGTGATGATACAAGATGGATGCAAGCCTACCTCTTTGAGTGAGACAACACCAACCAGCCGTCCAAGTGTCGTCACGTAGGTATGGTTCAGACCCAGCAGGGAGAACATGGAATGACACTGTCATGAACAAAGTACAAAGTAGAATTAAGCCTTTCACTGCCATGTGCTTAAAAACAATTTGGCTCTGGATCTTACAACGGTTTCAAACCAAACCAAATTATTCGGGGAAGTTAAGTTTGATATTTAAAGCAATTAGGAGTAACTACATGTGAAAGATTGACTGCTTGTAGTCATTCCAAATCAGCTGCAGTTTCCAGTCCACGGAAAATGAGTACATAAAGTTGGCCTGTCTCAAACCCAATTGACCTATCGCCGTTTACGAGTTAGCCACGCCCCTTAGACAACCCTATGGAGTTTTTGTACACCGAGTTTCGTTTGTCTCAGATTTTGCGCGTTCCGCGTCCATTTGTATATCGTTTCACAAGCTGCGTTGACGCGGTTCTAACGTAATTCTACCGCGATGGGTCAATTGTGTTTGGGTTGATTTGAGTTGGCTTCAATACATGTTGGTTCTGCCCAAAACTGGAATGCCACTGAATCAAAGATTTTCAATCTCCTTCACATTGTAGAAATACAGTTCTCAAAGTGTTGACATCACAGGGTGATTCAGGCTTGAAACCACTGGTTGGCTGACCAAAATTATAACCTGCCTCTTCATGCTGGTTGGGTACGACAGTCACATAGGGCTCACTACCACATGGCTTGGGCATGGAATTTGGTTGAGTATAAACTTGAGGTGCATGCACATACTGACTATGGACTGGCATTACTGGGTGACTAGAGCACATGTATGCCCCCTGGAGCTGGTGATCCCTTACAGTCCCTCAGGATGCAGAGATTTGAACTAGTGACCAACTCATTGCAGTCTGATAATTATATGCTGGTAATAAGAGTATCATGATTTTTACCTTGTGTAGTGACGTTCGTTCCACAAGTTGGAATGGGGCTGGATCAATGTGAACCTCACTGAAGTCCAACTGCACCTTCAGCTCTTCACTCTCCCATTCCTCATGCTGTGTGTATAAAGATCAAATAGCCATTGAAAAGAGCAGGGTTTTTATTAGGCCCAGGAGGTAATAGATCCACTGGTGCCAGGGTCTTAGTTGATTTGATGAGCTCTTGATGTACAACAAGCAGCATCAAGAAAATCAGCAAACACCAAATGACCAGTGATATTGCATTACTTTCTCAACGTTTATAGTTTATTACACCCCAGAAGTACTTGTTTCTTTATAAACAGTTTATATTTGAATTAACTCTCAGCATCCAGACAGACTTCATCATTGGTATGCAACAAGTAAGTAAGGCTAATCACAAATATTTTGATAACTGCTGCATCAGCTAGGCTGCGGCCTGCGAACATAACTAGCAACAAATATTTTGAACCAAAAAATACAACAGCACGACTGAATCCGACGTTAGTGTCAGCATGTGTCGGGGTTTAACTGTGGATACAACAAAAGAAAGAGATTTATATACTTTCTAATGAATATTTGAAGTTGTAATAATATTTGTTTAAATGACTATTTTGAGTGTCACAGTAACACTAGCCTTCTTGTAGTGACCCCTTGAGCATGTTGGTTTCCTAATGCAAAGCCAAGGGGAAATGGAACACTGTGAGAGTCAACTCAGTCACAATTTGCTCTACATCTTTTCGACCACAGATTGTAGACTTTAAGAGATGTGGATTTACTTAAACCCAAACAAATGGAAAAGTATTTCTATTTCATTTAGAAACGATGTGGAGATTCTTGGCATTTCTCCCAAAGTGTGCCCATAATGATATATTTGACACCCAGCTCTATAGTGTGCCAGAAATGATGCACAATGCTCACGTGCATGTACAGATGCAGACCTCCTACAGGTAATGGAATAATGTTTTGCAAGCCCTACAATACGAAGTCTTGTTTTCCACAAAACACCACAGAATGGAGACTACTTACCTCCTCTGTTGACATATCCTCAAATTCTCCAATCGGCTGTAAAAATAAAATGTATGGAAAAAATGTGGAACACTAATTTCACGTACATTGTGGAATACATTTTGTGTGATTTTTTGAAACTTAGCTTCACTTCATCTCTTTTTTTTTCAGTAAAGAAAAAGTGACAATTATGCTTCCAAGCTGTTGTTATAATCTACTTAGCATTCAACTTTCAATTCATTCTTTGCAAAGTAAACATTTAGGTCGCTGCATTCCATTTGTAATCCAAACATTCAACCCAAACGTGGTAGTTTTGTTAGGCTGTGCAAATATCACTCTACTACATAAATCATCCAAATGCAAAAGCATTTGTAAGTGTTAGTTCAGCTGAACTTAAATAAGAAACATATCCAGGTATGACTTCTACAAAAGTGATGTTGGACACCCCTTATATTAAAACAATCACATACACAGGCTTCATAATCTATGGTAAATTAAGTCTTGATTTGTAAGGAATAGTTTGCCTCCGATAAAAAGAATTCTGAGCACATTTTGAATGTTTTGAATATAAAATTGTGATAACTTGAATGAAGTGCAAGTCAGTAGTTCTATGTAAACTTAATCAGTACATTATCAACATAGACTTTGATTACAAATATGAGTGTTTGGACACACAAGATGATGTGGGCATGTAAGATTATTTTGGAAAGAACTTGAGTATGTGTATGAGCCCTTTTGCACATTTGAACCCATTACAATAGTGGATCCATGGGCATGGTGGAATGGCTAAGCACCCCCTTCCCCAAATGACCATGTTAATTATTTACATAATGGACAAATACATCTCCAATCTGAATAACATCTGCACTAACTATTGCAATATTGATTCACTGCTTCAGGCATTTAGTCTTTTTATATGTCTTGCAATGCTTCATCCATACCATACCACTACACCACCCCCTACAAAAACTCTTGGTTTTCAACATCCCAGGCGCCCCCCCCCCCCCTTAGAATTTGCTGGATCCTCCAATGCATTTTCACACAATAATGGCTTCAGTCTCAACTCCTAGTACTCCACCTGTTACTTCATTTTTCTTTGTGGACAAGGGAAAGGACCGAGTAACGGGTCACACAAAGTGCTGTAAAGCACACAATTGCTAACTGTGGAATCCTAGTCCAAGAATTCGGAATTGCTCAGTTTGATATTTTCTCTAATCACATATAATCTATGACATGCAATTACTGCAGCAGGCAAAAAGTGTGTTTCTGTGCATGTTATTATCAGCACATGTTCTTCTTGATTATCTCTATAAAAATTGAAAACCTTCAAAACTGAATAAAGATTCAGGGAGGGTAAGTAGTGTTTTGTTATGTGACCATAATGAAGTAATTTAAAAACATGAAAGGATGTGTCAAGGGACAGCAGAAAGGGGACAGTATAAGAAGGGGGCAACTCAAACATTGATGAATCTAGGGGGGAAACACTGTGGGGGTGGGGGAAGACGGGAGGATTGAGATTGGCAGGAGGTTGTTTGATGGTTAGACATCAAGGTGGGAAAGAATTGGCATTGGTGCGGCGTATTCATGCCGTTACTAACACATTAACCAACACAAATCCAAACACAAACTGGCTGTTAGTGTTATTGGGGTTCACACAATATTTGAAATGAAACTGGGGATCTTAAAATCAAAACACTGGTCTTGAATTCTCCTATTCATTTACCACACGTAAATAATGATTGAATTCATTCAATGGGCAAGGTACTTCAATAGCATTAAGGCTTAACACAAGCTTAGCATCTTGGAAATATTTTGGTTCCATTCACAAGAACAAAATAAAAATAAAGTCTTTGATAGCAAAAACAAAATAAAAGGACTTTATTTAGGTTGCTAAAGCTACATCGTTATCAACATAAAACCAACCTGATATAAGGCGCATGTCTAGTGAGACTTACCAGTTTATACACTCGAGGCTTCTTTTTGGAACCATCCAATGAGTCAGTACTAGAGCTCAGTATACTATCCCTGGAGCCAAAGCGCTTTAACATACCCTTGATGGTCAGAATAGACACACACATACATAAACCATACACAAGACAGGCAGACAGACAGACAGACACAGAGGCAAAATAGGGTTAAAATCAATGATCCACGCATACAATACTTAGGTACATCATGGATGAGAAGTGTTATTCCTCAACCCCATCCACCCTTGAAAATAGATTTACAGGTTCGTTTGACAACCTTTTAAGATCAGGCATGCAACTGGGAAGTCCAAAAAAAAGAGGAAATTCAAATTTTCCCCAGTTTTTGTACAGTGTTTTTCTATTTTTAATGGCACACATGGGAAGTAAAAAAAGAGAGGAAATCAGCTGATCCGAGGAAAAGTTGCATGCCTGTATGATGTTTTTAAATCTCTGTATGGACTTGACCCATCATTGTTGAAAATGCATGACTTATCCCAAGCATACTATTGCTCTTTGCTCCTTGCATTCCTTCCCTCCCCACTCCCAAATTGCATTCTGGGTTTGAAGAAATTGCCCATGCTATTAAACATAGACACAGCCTTGTATGAGTGGATCACGTGATGCATTCAATACATCAAAGGGTGCAGCCTGGGGAGTTAGTGGGTGAACAGCATGGACTCCATGCATCTACAGTGGATATGGGAGGTACATACTACTACATGCGCCAGAGGTTCTTGCGCATGTGGCGCAAATTACGTACGATTAACTTTATTTGTGAGTGACATTCGGTGTCAATGCGTACAAGTTCTGCCTACGCTTTCTCTCTTTGTAACTGAATGAGGGGATGCTTGTGCAATGAATCCATTAAATCAAGGCAAAGGTCATCAAATCCACAAACAGCTCAGACAAATCAATGGCAAAATGCCTTCCCAATCCAACACAACACTCAGTGTTGATGTTTAGCAGTCACATATCATAAAATATTAAAACGCAATAATTATGCAGCCAACCTGAGAAAGTAATTCATTCCACAAACATATAAAACACTGGTAGAAAAGTAAATAAAAAATGCAACTGCAACTTGCTGAAGGTAAATCATTTCAATATTGGAGGCACCATCGTACATGTAGCTTGTAATGGCACTGTATGCATGGAGAATCAACAAGGTCAAACTAAGATGGGTCTCTTAAGGTGAATTCAAATAACAGGATCGAAGGTCTGGGAAAAAAATCACTGACTCAAGATTGTTGGGATACAAATTCACACAAGGCCAATTAGTATTAATGAACCAATTGGAGTTAGCTTTTTCATATGTCAATTTTATGAAGATTTTTTAAGTTTCAGTATCTCTGCTTGGAAAATGTCCTGATTGCTCTAAACTCAACCACTGTACAGGTACCAAGGCACATTCTTTGTACACAAGTTTCAGAGGACATCAAGCCTCATATAGAGTGATAGATTGGCTGGGCTTTGCATATGTCAAATCCTCCAGACATCCTGGTTGATTTTGAAGAAACTGGGAGGGTTCAAGTTAAAGGTAGAGTATATCATTTGCTTTGCAGCTATTCAAAAAGTAACTGACGTAATTATTGTTGAAAAGCATACTCGGTGTAAAGATAGTAATGGCACTAAACTCCCTGTGAAATTATTCTTTCTGGCAAGCTGTCATTTTGAAGAAAACAATAAAAGAAGGTCATTTCCGACGATGCGTCTAAAGATGCATTTTTTGGAAATTTCCTTCAGTAATTCATTTTTAATTCGGCGACTGGTATGCGCAAGTGTTGACGCAATGCACACATGTGTGCGGTTGCTACAATTCATCAGTTAAGTGCGTGACATCACGTACCTGCAATCGCCAGACGCTGATTTCGGGCGTAATTCAAAACATGACTCGAAAACTTTTGAATTGAAATCGCGATCCTAAAATATTGATTTCTCAGAATATACAACATTCACTGAGCTAAAACTTCCTACAGTTAGTTGTTAAGCACCCTTCTTTAGATTTTGAGCACTCTTGTTGCTTCAAACAAAACAAATGCACAAATGACAAATGGTGTACTCTACCTTTTAGACAGTTATAAATCTAAGGGTTGGGTCAACTGCAAATTGGAGGGAAAAATACACTGCAAGGCCAGAGGGAAAACAAACTACATTATCCAACAGCTAAGTGATTTCTGAATCTTATATGGAATTAAGTTTGCTAGTTGTTTTGTTCTTGGAAATCGCCTTGATTATGTTGCCAGGTGTTAATAGCATTAATACAAACTGAGCTCAAATGTCAGCAAGGTTAGTAACATCCAGGGCAAAAGTGCACAATCCAGGAGAAGCATGCTTGAATGCAGACAGGATGTAGAGTCTAAACCATAAACTTTGGAAAGAAATGGTATGGGATTCCTCAATAAGAGCCCCTCATATTGGGCTTGCAAAGGTGATGAGTGTGTCCCTCATATTGGGCTTGCATATGATTATGAATGACTGCTGTGATGAGTGTCCCTCGTATTGGGCTTGCATAGGATTATGAATGACTGCTGTGATGAGTGTCCCTCGTATTGGGCTTGCATAGGATTATGAATGACTGCTGTGATTTGTGTTAACGCTTGCCAATGTTACACTCATGAAACTGTCACCATCACAACAGCTAGCTATATGCATCTGAATGGACGAAAGCAATTCCAGTGAATAATCTTGCTTAACCCTAACCCCCTAGGCCCTTTTTGCTAAGAACCATCCTCAAGCCTCCAAAATCCTCCAAAATGTTGCAACTCCGCCTAAATTTTTCAAAATTGTCAGACAGTCCTGCCTCAAAATGCATTCATCATCAATCCTCCAAAATCCTCCTCATCCCAAAATTTTGCACTCGTGTTTAAATGAAGGATGACCAATGCCTTAATCCTTCAAAATCATCAGACTGTCCTGCCTCAAAATGCATTCATCCTCCAAAATCCTCATGTGCATTCATCCTCAATCCTCCAAAATCCTCATGTGCTTCAATCACCATTCATCCTCAATCCTCCAGAATCCTCATGTGCTTCAATCACCATTCATCCTCAATCCTCCAAAATCCTTATGTGCTTCAATCACCATTCATCCTCAATCCTCCAAAATCCTCATGTGCTTCAATCACCATTCATCCTCAATCCTCCAAAATCCTCTTGTGCTTCAATCACCATTCATCCTCAATCCTCCAAAATCCTCATGTGCTTCAATCACCATTCATCCTCAATCCTCCAGAATCCTCATGTGCTTCAATCACCATTCATCCTCAATCCTCCAGAATCCTCATGTGCTTCAATCACCATTCATCCTCAATCCTCCAGAATCCTCATTTGATTCAATCACCATTCATCCTCAATCCTCTAGAATCCTCCAAAACCGCCAGGAGGATTTTGGATGAGTGAGGTGGGTTAGGTAATATACAACATTTGCTTTTGCTGTAATTTTCAGAAATGGATGGATTTGGGGGTTAGTATTTTATAGCACATATCGCTTCACTGAGCTGTTTAAGTTCTGTGTTCATGGATGCCAGAAAAAAAAAAAGGAAAAAAACCCTCTTCTTTCAGTCTGTTTCCCTGACCCCATGCTTAAGATGAAACAAAACAATTTACAGATGACAGGGAATTGTCAGGCCAGGCAACCAGACTAGCCAGCTTGTGCCCATTCACAGATATGTAACCGATTGCAAACAACATGTGGACTACCTAATCTAGTCAATTGGGGACAGTATTTTCCAACAAGTTTTTTCCAACAATAGATGGCTAACCATTGTTTTAAATTGATAAAAAAATCCACTTTTCTTGAAAATGACTACATTCCAGGCGCAACAATTTCACAGGATGCTTGAGACTATTATTCACTTACAGTCAAGTAAGGTATTTCATAAAAATTTGGTAGTTTTGCATTTAAATGTTTGCAACTGTTGTACATTGCCTTTAAACACAATGTTAGTGTTGAGTCCAAACACGCATTCTTACAAATTTTTTGCCACTGCACACAATTCTGAAACAATTTGACTCAGCACTCACTGACATTTCCCACTCCAACTTAGTACACAAAAAACTGCCCATGTTGTTTTCTTTGCTAAAGGTTAAGTTTTGGACTCTAGATCCTGCCCTTAGCAAAAACGCTTCACCTGAGTGGAAAAGGATGACCGTGGGGATGTGCGTGGTGACGTCCCAAGCAGGATATTGAGTGATAACTACAGGAGATCCATGGTACAGATAGTTAGTGAGGTATGAGGGCAGCAGCAACAAGTTGTGACAAGGACATATGACACAGCATGTGACAGGTCACAAACAGCACAGCGAAGGGAATGTGGGAAACGAGGACAATGAGGAGAGGTATTAATATCAGGCATTTGGTTTGGGTAAAATGAAGTAATTGGAAACGGATATGGTATTTTTAGGAAAGGGAAAGGAAGGAAGTGAATATTGGAAGGTCACAAAAGATTAGTAAGGAAAAAATGAAAATGACAAAAATGAAAAACAAAATAGTAAAAGACGCAAAGATGGAAACAAAATAGAGAGAATAGGACAATGAGGATACAGAGGATAGATTAGAAGGAAATACAGTGAAATACATAGACAATACCAATTTGAACAAATTATCAATTTGTTCAAAGATAGAGAGTAAATAGAAAAAGAAAGAAACCTTGTGAGATTTTAATGTTATTTCATATTAAAAAGATTTGAGAATAAGAGTAAACTAAGACCCAAGGATATATAGCAGGGCACAAAACGTCAAGACTTAAGAAAATCCTATATCAGACAGGATTTCAATGACATATTTTATTTGTTATGTTTAGAGCAATCGTGTGAAAAACACCCCCCAAAAATGGGGGGGGGGAGGATGTTTTACCATCCAAAGAAAAAACGTTTTTGGTAACTCATTTTAAAATTTCTGACAGATTGATAAACCAACATACCTCTAGGTTGGACAGACTGATTCCTGTGGCTAAATAGGGACAGGGAAAAAAACACAAGTAGAAATTAGTTGTTAGGCATATGTGGGGTGATCTCTGCCAGAAACTGGCTGTAGTGGGACACTGGAAAAATACAGTATAAGAAGCTCAACAGATATAAAAGTATACTTTATGTAAGGTGTGATTTTGAAACAGAGTTTGGTGGGGACAAGGTAAAGCCGTCCCTACTTGCCTCCCAAATGAAGCACAATGGAAGCACATGTGTAAACAATGTGCACCGTTATCTTGTCACAGGGTCTGCTTGTTTCACCCATGGTACTTAGCTGAACAAATGTATTTCATTGATCGCAAGTTTTGCAACTAATTTCTTTATTAATAATGCTGAGTCTAAGGACTGAAGACTTCAACGTTGCTATGTTATCATCTACATTTAGTGCAATCTTCTACATTTAATCAGTAACTGTTTCATATTTACTGCAAGCTGTAGCTGTCATGAGTATATAACCCACATCTCCATGCTTTCAAATACAAGGTATAACTGCTAATCACATGCAAATTATGTGGACATAAAAATCACGCTGACATACATATCACAACCAATGAGTACAAAAACTACACAATTTAATGATTTATTTTGGCATTTTGATTATGTGGCCATTTTAGCATGCCAATGTTTGCTGGATGCTGCATGCACCAAATTGTTATGTTTCTACTCAAGTTTATGTAGGTGAGAAAGAGATCTCAACTGGAATCAGATATGTCTAACAATCGAGTCCTCAACAGTAACTTTAAAAAACCTACCATAAAGGCAATAGACCAAAGGGCTGTGGTTCTGTTGTGCATGGATAAGCATGAGTCAACCTTTGGTACATTCATCGTTACTAATTCTAAATAACAAAGAAGGCCATCTGAGACACCCACAAAGCATAAGGTCCACTCCCAGAAGAATTGAAAAGGACAGCTTCCTCAAATTATTCAAATGTTGGCTAACATGTTTCCCATCTTAAAATGATTCCAACTATTGACAAGTTGAAGTAAATGATAAACACTATAGGGGATCCAATTCATTCTGCACATCAGATTAGTTTTTTCCACAGAGCTTTAATTAACTTGAAGAGCAAATGGTCTATAATCAACTATTTTCATGTTTCAGCAATGCTTACCATCTTTGTCAGAAGCGTCTCTGATGGAGATTTGTTGTGAGTTGTTTTCATCAGACTGTGAAAACAACGAACAAATATTAATAAATAATAATATATTAATGAATTAGGTATACTAAGCCCAGCTAAACCACTGTATATTTGTCACTGGAGCTCAGAGAATGCCTCGGCGACAACACTCTAAGGTAAAGAAGAATGTTGCAATGGGCTTATTCAAAGGAAAGTGCGGGTACAGAAAGGAAGTTATTGTAAATAAAAAGTTAAAGAGAATACAATACAAAATGAGGATAAACTGGAACTTCATATTACATGAATTCACTTTTTCCTACGTGTTATGTACCGTAATTTTCGGAATATAAGCCGCGGCTTATACGTTGAATTTGCCCATGAAAATGTTTACTGCGGCTTATACACAGGGCGGCTTATACGCCGAGACTTGAAGAATAAAAATGACATTTACATGTGTATTTAATGTACTGGTACAAGAAGAGATGTGTTGCTGAAATAATTATCAATTAAGAAAGTCATTAACAAACCGAAAGCACATCCCACAAAAAGGTACCGAGCGGTAAAAAGTACGGCTAGTGAAAGCTGTCCCTTGGACATCGACAACCGGCCGCACGTGATGCTGCCTATGCTGCATGCATGCTGCAGGGATTCCCCATGGACCACACCATTTGTGGTAATAAAGGGGTGCACTTTCTTGGGAACAATAATTACCAATATTTCCCCAGTTTAAAAAAAGGAAAAAGACAACTAATACTTTTTATGGAGTTTGAAACATATCTTTATTTGATAATCAGTTGTTCAACGTCACAATATATTTTTTTTTCTTGAAATGTATTCAAAAAACGATGTAAAACTCAAAACAGGGGTGAAACCACCCCTACAAAATTAATGGATTCGTCCATAAAAATCTCAGCATCGTGTTGAGTGTTTTCGAAGAAAGTTACTATCCAAACTTGAAGTTTTGACGTTACTACTCATTAGTAATCACAACAATTTGATAAGTTTTGCTGTAAAAACGGACTTGTTTATCCTTTAGGACAAAACAACTCAGCGTCTGTTGCCACAAGGCAGGATTTGTAGCGCTCCAGTCAGACAACACATGGTGGGTTGCATACTCTCTCAAGTGCTGGGGGAAAATAATGTCATTCGCCGGCACAGGCTCACTGACTAGCCAGCCGGCAGCAATTCCCGTTTTTTATTTCTCATCATCAATTTCCATATTTGTTTGTAAGAGTAATCGACTGTAAATGATTTGACATAACATTTGTGGTCCTTTTATAGCTTTCGTAGTGCAAATGGAACTGGTTCAGAGCATTTTGACTAGAATTTGGAGGCCTTACAAAATTGAACCGCTGCGGTTGGTGCGGCTTATACGCCGGTGCGGCTTATACGCCGACTTCAAATCTTAATTTGCAGATTTTTGCGTGCTGCGGCTTATACGCCGCGCGGCTTATATTCCGAAAATTACGGTAGATGAAATAGTATGGACAGATATCCCAAAGTTTGGGATATTAACAGCGCAATTACAACTTTAATGCATAAGCTCAAAGGAACACAGTATTTATGGACTAAACAGCATAGATTTTGACCTTTCAAACAGGACAAAATGAATGAAATAACCAAATAATGCTGAATTCATGGCAAATACTTAGCACGAATTCACATCTTGTAGCATCCATAAAACAACCTCCAGTAAATTGTACTCTTGATGAGGTCACAAGGTTTCGTCCTGGTTAAACACAACATGTAAACAAGAACTTTCTCTCATTTTCCCCACTGTTTATAAAGTTCTTACATACAAAACAGAAGTTACTTTTCATATGAAATGTATCAGAATCAAACTTTCTCATGACCTACCTAGTAAAAGATAACAGGTTGGAATTGCTATTATCCATATAACCCAATCATCATAGGGCAATCAAATACCTTGTTATATTGTGTGCTTGGATACTGTGCACGCTAGCTTTGTGCCATGAGAACTGCAACATCAAACGTTCAGTCTCATATTCAGCAGGACATCAAAACCTTCAGTTATCAACGAGTGTTAAAAACGTCAGATCCCACATCACAGCGGTCAACAATTGCTAAATATGAAGAGCCTATTAAGGTTGCACCTGCCTTGGCATTGAAGGAGACAACAGAGAAGCGATCTGATGGACCTGGCTGGCTCTGTCCTTGAGATCTCTTCCTATCAGCTACAACCACCAAACGACGAGCTAACCCAACCTTCTTCTCCAACATGCATTCCAGCTCACTACGCTGCACTGAACCAAGTAATATCATGGACTCTGGCAATCAGACAAGAGAGAATGAAATGAGGAATCAAGTGCTCTGGACTTAGCTAACATTTCTAGGCATGAGGTTTGAAGATAATAAATATACAACAGAGCGGCAGCCAATCAGTAAATAAGTTAGTCTTGTCATTCAAAATTCCGGCTCACAAGCTCCAAGTATTCAAGCTATAGTCCATCATTTGCAGCCATCCGAAAAGTAACTGGCGTAATTATTGTTGAAAAACATACTTGGTTGTAAGATAGTAGGGGAACTAAACTCCCTGTGAAATTATTCTTTCTGGCAAGCTGTCATTTTGAAGTAATCAACGAAAGAAGACATTTCCAACGGTGCTTCTTAAGACGCACCGTGGGAAATTTAAATTAGTAGTTCGTTTTGTTATTCGACGAAGCGCGCGCAAGTATTGGCACAACACACACGCACGCGCTGTTGCTATAATTCGTTGGATCAGTCATATAGAACTTAAAATTAGTGCGCAACATCGCGTAGCTGCAATCGGCTGAGTGAGAACGTGTCTCAGACGCTGAATTTAGGCCCAATTCAAAACATGATTCAGCAACTTTTGATTTGAAATTGAGATCCTAGAATGCTGTTTTTCTTGGAATATACAGCTGAAGCTGAGCTGAAACTTCATCAGGTTAGTTGTTCAGTACCCTTCTTTATATTTTGAGCACTTTTGTTGCTTCAAACGAACAAAATGCACAAATTACAAATGATGGACTATATCTTTAAGCCAGTAACCCAGGTTCATACCCAACACATTCAACCAAAGAAATGAATAAATTCACAAGTGATAAACAAATTGCGGGATAATTGAAATGCAATCTGCGGCAAACTGCTTAATCCGGACTGATCTGAAATACACAGTCATAATGTCTCCAAGGCAAAATGACATGGGGACAGTATCAGACTTTGAAGAGACCCACAAGTTTACCTGAAAAGAAATGCATACAAGGTAGGGCATGCAGGGTGGCTAAACAAACATTACAAGAACAAAGGGGAGAGTGGGGTGTGATGATAGGGGACAACATGAGGGGGTTGGAAACAAAGGAGTTTGAAAGTAAGAATAGATCTATGGAGGAGGGACAAGAAAGGTGGAGAGATAAACAAATGGAACACTGGACTTACCAGGAGCATCTACCAATGGGAAAGACTGGAGTTTAGGAGAAGTATCCAGCAGTTCCTTCAGGTCAGCATAGGTGGAAAGCCAGGAGATGAACTTGACATAACGTACCATGATATCCTCCACAAATATCTCATAGGTCCTGCATACAAACACACATGGTTACATCATGGACACAACCGCTATGTACAGACTGAAATCAAACACACGTTAAGCAGGAAATCATCAAAGCCAATCAGTCAGATGTGCACTTGCCATCTAATGGATTGGTCTTGATGGTAATAATGTATTTTAACAGGTAGTGGCAAGTGTACATTACAAATAATAACTCTGATTGGTGAAAATTGCAAGCAACGGTATTTGAGAAAATTGCAAGCAAACGGATACACTTCACATGCAAGATTGGTGATAGCACGCCAAATACCGTAATTTCCTGCGGATAAGGCGCGCGGCGGATAAGACGCAGGTCCCTAAAATCACCCAAAAAAAATTCAAACGCCAACAGATAAGGCGCACCGCCGCATAAGACGCATGTTTGACCGCACACAGAAGAACACCAGGCGTCACCCGGTGTCGGTACATCGCCACAAAGGGGCCATTGTGTTGCCTTAGAACGATCACACTATTCGGAGGATGAATTAAGCCGTGTCCGCACTGGACTTTTTTTTGGAAGGTTTTACCGAGACGATAGTAAAATGAGAAATGGTCAAATGTGACCACTGTCCGCACTTGGACTTTCGACACGGGAAAATTTACCCAGACCGCGTGGGAGAAGTAACCGAGCTGTCACAGTGTCAGTATAATTACTCACCGTACACAGAAAACAAATTACAAAATGAGGATAACATTTTCAGCCGCCGATACGCACAGTAATATTACACACGCCATTTGCATGCACAACATAATCGTTTACACGATATTATTTCATCTTGACACGCTAAATCTTGACGAAAAGGCCTGTAATTCTGACGCATTTGTGATGCACGTCGTCGAAGCCATGCCGCTGTACGATATTCCGTGCGGCAGCAGTGCCATCAGTATTCGTTGGTTCCCATCGCATGCTTACAGAATCGAAGCTATGATGTGGGCCAGGAACCAGTGACTACGGCCTACATACGGTACCGGACCATGATGTTCCGTGCATGACTACAGTAGCGTATCAGGACGAATTTGGATCGTAGAAAATAACATACATCGGTGGAGAAAGAGAATTTCCGCAAATTAATTCTCAGAACGTGATCTCTCTTCTCTGTGTATGTATTTGTCCGTTGAAATATATATTTTAACGAGATTTTACCGCTCGGACTTGATGATACACCGCAGCGTGTTTCTACAAAATGTTCGGCCACACGTGCACTGAGGTTCGCGCGGTCTCTGTATGCATAACATGGCGCTCGGGCCGGAAGTACGCTTTCCTGAGCCGCTTTTACCAACTCGCACTGTTTTCATCTTGATCTTCAGGCTTGCAGACTTCGAAGATATCCTGTACAATAAACACCCTCAACGTTCACACAATAGAACTTGAGTGAATGCGATTTCCAAACGTTTAAGTAATTCTGATTGCAGCATTTTCGGAATGAAAAAACGGCCACAAAGAAAAACGTTTGTATGACGGCATTGTTGGAACGAAAGCACGATCACTAAGGGGGATCAACGCATTGCGGCATTGTTGGAAGGAAAGCACGATCATGGGGGATCAACACATCGCGGCATTGTTGGAATAAAAATACGGTCACAATGTCTGGAGAGTTGAGCCTCGGTTGACCGCATTATTGATTGCGGCATTGAAAGAATTCTTCACACAAAGACCGTCACTTTGAACTCAAGCGACACCAGATAAGGCGCACCTGTAGATAAGGCGCAGCGATGTTTTTGTGGTCTAGAAAGTCAGATAAGACGCGTCTTATCCGCAGGAAATTACGGTAGGTGATCAGTTTGTGTAGTCTTGCGACGTCGTATGTAACTCTCTATTCGCTACATGTATTCATGACATAGATATACCCGATACATGTATCATGCACTACGCATCAGTGTGCAACACAAAGTAGATTGAAAGATGATAAATTGCTGAATATACAGAAGACATTTGTCTGTGTTTTAAAGCAGGATTTTTGACAACTGCAAGATTTGTTTTTTATAAATTTGGACTTATAGTGTCTGAGGCCGAGTATTGTGATGCAAATTTTCAAATTGCGATGCAAAACTTCACTGGAGGTTATTGTGTATGTTTATCTTTCTACTGATGATCAAGGTGGCATACACTTACTTGGAGCCAGCATGGCTGATATCCGGTAGGTATGGCAGTTTCTTGATTTGGATGATACTGTCATAGAATGATGGCTGTAGTAACTGGGCTATGGCATTGGCTATCAACACTGCCATCTGGTGAGATACAAGAGGAACAGCACAGACGTGTACAGCAGCAAAATACACACTGAGATTTAGCAGGACCCACATATTCACACTTTGGTCTTGAATCAAGTGGTTTAAGTTAGATTTGCTGGCCACAACGTTTCTTAGTTCTTAGTCAGGACATTGTCATTGTCAGACCCTGGTGTAACTGCCACAATGTGTTTTGTCTTGAATCTTCTGGTGAATGTTCCCTTCACAAAGAAAAATATCCTTAATTTAAGAACAGAGGTAAAACATTACGCAGGAAATGAGCTTGGAATTTAATGATTCAGATTCATCCACAGTGACACAGAACTCAATATCATAACTTAGGACAGAAACGTGTTGTGCGAGGACTTAACAATTGTCTAAAAAAACCTATAAAAAGACCAGTGTAAGCACAACAAAACAATCAATTAAAATTCACTGACAAATTACTTAACTGCAGTGTTAGACAAGAAAAGAAATTCTATGATTGATCAGGTCTCGTGACATTTGAGAGGATAACCTTTATCATCAGTTTGGCACAATGTATGACTATGTTGAATTTATTGGGTTCTCTTAATCTTGATAGGAAACTGGGAAAGCATATGTCTTGAATAATAAAGGATGCTTTGAAAAGTGAAGAGTTTTAAGGCACACAAGAAAACCAATGAACTATTACCCAATTACAGACTCATTCAAAAAAACTCTGGAATGGTACTGTGGGTTGAACCCAGACTATTGCTCAGGTTTTGCAAATTTTAACGCAGTTTATCAACAATCAGAATGATTGGAAAGTTCCACTTAGAATACTGAGGTCTGGTTTCAATTGGAACAACTGTTACTAACGTGCTGAAGACTACAAACGTCAAATGCTCACATATGGAATGATTGCCCCAAGTGAGTAAATTCACACAGCAATAGCTCAATGTAGCTGAGAGAACACTTAGAATATTGATGTTTTCAACAAGAATGAGTTGTGTTCCTGTAAGACAATACCAAGGTGTATGAACTTGAGAGTGTATGCAGAGGGAAGTAACTTACCATGACAGGTAAGATGTGTGTGATTTGCCCAGTCAACTCAAAGACAATGACAGACGTGGAGATGGTATGAGTCACACTGCCTGATAATGCTGCTGCACCTACAAGTCCGAAGGTGAAGAGAACATCGTCGTGTCAGTACAACAAGGTTGTAACTCAATTCTGCAACAAAGTCAAATCCCGCGCGAATACGCTCCATTCAACAACGTCGTATCTCGACGTCCACTGACTTTGCGTGTACATCCCGGTTATTTTAAGCGAGATACGACCTCTTGACATTCTAAAACTTGCGTTTGCATTTATGCCATTTTAGGAAATACGACCTTGTTGCACTTACGCGACAACATTCACAATTTCAATTTTAAGGAGTGCTAAATTCAATCATTCCTATTTTTGTGCAGGTTTTGACAAACATGTATCTTTCTCCGACAAAGATATTTGTGTTTGATGGCTCTTTCTTGTAGCCCTGACCATGTCCAATTCAATAAGATTCTATATAATTTACACTGTGCTTCCATAGGGCTAATACATGTAGCTCTCTTTAACAAAATTTAATTTTCACAAGGATTGGCAAACATTTCTACTTTCACATTCTCATCATACAATGTTCACTTGAAAAAAGAATGTTTAGCAGTTTAGTGAACCTTCATGCCTTCAAATTCTTGAAAGAATTGAGTTACTTTTAAAAATTCAAACTAAACAATAATAGTTAGTTATACTGCAGTCTAGATCTTACCAACTACAGCATATCCTCCTGGTATGACTTTATTGATGACAGCATCGGATGTGTGGATACCCTGAGGGAACCATGCTGCCATACACTCCCCAACCAGCCTACCAAATGCTGCTCCTAATGTGAAGACAGGAATGAATACCCCAGCAGGTACAGGCAGAGTCACTGCCAGGGCCGTCATCCAGAACTAGGATGGCAGAGCACAAGGAATCAAGAATGACATTCACTATGGTCATGTAAGCTGACGGACACACTGGATGCATGTGTGAGTGAATTGTGCATTTTGAGTATGTGTGGTACCAATTTCAATTGCATGTACCACTCTATGTCAGCTTTGTGTGAGTGCAATACACCTGGGCATTAGTGCACAAGGCTTCCTGGCTTAACTGCCCATCACAGTCACCAATAAATCCATCACATTTTACTTTTAATGGCATACATGTCATGTAAACTTGGGCTTTCAATATTTTGTTCAACAATTGCAACAGTCACTCGCATGAAGTCTGATCTTTTAACCACGAGATAACATTTAAATCAACTCAATTCAATGTGAGAGGAATGCAGGCACCTTAGTGTAGCTGGACAATAGCATTACTATTACAGTGTCTCTCATTAACAACTGTTTAGCATCAGTATACTGTTATGCATCAGTATACTGTATTGCAACGCTACAATCTGATGGAAATTAAGTTGTTAGACCTTTCTGAGAACCAGGTGACCTTAAACTTAAACAATGGCTCAACAGTCACGGTTTTCGTTTCAATTCACAGAGTTTTCAAGACATCACATTCATTACCTCCTTACGTCAAACTGCGAGCCAGACCATTTAGTTATAAGTAATATACATGTTCACACTTAGTAAGCATGCATTGGCTGAATGCAACTGACATATATTAGATCAACCTTGTGCCCAAGCAGGCAAAGACTTCCTGAGGCCACTTACCTGCATGACAATGAAGACACCCAGAGTAACGAAGACATTAGGACGGTGCCATGGCTTGTACTTGTTCTCTTCATCTATGGTAGCTGATGGATCATTACCCAGCGTTGTGTTGCTAAATAGCTCATCAATTTGCTGCTTCTGTGTCAACTGCCACACATAACGTAACATGAAAACAATGAGTGCATGGCAGGCAGGATGTCATGCTAATCAATATTTACTACAAAGCCATGTAACTCATATACTCCAGGAACTTCCCCAACCTGTATGGCTTTACGGATTCACCAGGGAATAAATACAATGTAATACAAGGTAGTTCATGTGTTTATGGGTTGAAGGGCTGATGATTATTTTCCATCTTTGAAATGCAGATTTTTTTTTATTTAATGAAGATTTTAACTTTGAATTGTCATTCCAACATTGCTTCAAAGATTTTAATAGTAATGTGAAATTCCATTTCAGAGCAAAACAAGTGTTTCACCTGACCTCTACTTAAAAACTGAGTAAGCTTTGGTGTCAAGCTGTTTGAATAACATACAATGTGCCCCATGTTTTGCTTTTGTTTTAGTTGCAATTTCATGTCAAGAGCTGACTTCACATTTTAAGCAGTGGTCAATAATGAACTGTAAACATACCTCTCCTGCCATGAATTGCCCCAGACCCAGAGGGAATGTAATGGAAGAAATGACCAGTGATACCAGAAATGGGTACAGGAAACGACTGTAGGAACAAAGAGCATGATATAATCACACCTGGTCAAACAACATTGACCAACAACTTCACCAAATAATCTGCATTATTACAAAGATCAGACGTGTTTCTCTTAAAGGTAGGGTAGATCATTTGTCATTTGTGACTTTTTTGTTTGAAGCAACAAAAGTGCTGAAAATCTAGAGACTGGTACTTAACAACTAACCTGATGAAGTTTTAGCTCTGTGAATACTGTATATTTTGAGAAAAAAATATTCTAGGATCTCGATTTCAATTAAAAAGTTGCCGAGTCATTTTTTGAATTACACCCCAAATCAGCATTTAGCCGAATGCAGCCACGCAAAGTCACGCACTGAACCAATAAATAACAGCAACCGCACGCGTGTGCGTCCCGTCAACACTGGCATGCACCCATTCACGGATTTGACAAATTAATTACAAACCAACTACTAACAGAAATTTCCAAAAATGTGTCACTTGACTCATCTTTAGAAATGACCTTTTATTGTTTTCTTCAAAATGACAGTATGCCAGAAGGAATAATTTCACAGGGAGTTTAGTGCCATTACTATCTTTAAACCAAGTATGCTTTTGAACAATAATTTTGTCAGTTACTTTTTGGATTGCTGCAAATGATATACAGTAAGCTCCGGCTAAAACGACATCATACAACTCGTCAAATCGCTCAAGTCGGCCGTCTGACTAAAGTCCCAATCGTCCGTAATGCATATCCATTGAATTTTTTTATTTCAAAGTCGGCTTTTATAAGTCGCCAATTCGCTCAAGTCGTCGTGTTACTCTTGGTCCTCTTTCCATAAAAAGCATTACCAAATCCTTTGTGTAAGTCAGCATTCAACAAGTCGCACATTGGCATCGACTTCCTGTACTGCGGTTGGCAAAGTGTCGAGTGATCACCGCATGCATCGGTGTCGAAAAAGGGTGTCCTACTGCATACATCGCATATGCATCGTGAGCATATCAATACCAGTACCCCCTCTAAGCTGTACCCATGCGCTCTGTCCATTTTGGGGGTCGTCTTATTGAATGACTACTGCTGCAGTCAATGCGTGCATGGTATATACCGGACCACGAACGCATTTAATTCATTCCTGTGCATGTACATATGTATCGTGGTCTCCACTATCAATACCCCAAACGTGATGATACAATTCGAGGATTAATTTGCTGGATTAAACTCAAGCATTAAGGAGATAATCCAGGGTAAATCGAAGGCAATTGCAATGAATCATGTGTGTAAAAGACCATTCATGTAAGTCGGCAAAATGACGACTTACAGCAGATATCGGCATTCGCGTAAGCCGTCACAAATTCTCAGGTCCCGAGAGTGTCGGTTTAGTCAGAGTTTACTGTACTCTACCTTTAACTCATTACTTCGAAACACTGAACACATGAAGACTAATGATATAAAAAGAGTTCCACTACAACTACAATCCAGTGGGCACAGTACCCACTTCTGCATATTAAGCACAAAAGCCTAGCTATGCTGCTTGGCACCACTACATGGGGATGCTGGAAAACACAAACTCAATCACGTTCACTATCCAGACATACTTGTTGCTACTTTTTGCTTGAACAGTCATGTTCATTCATGAATCTTTGTAACTTTCTAAAAATTAGAAGATTAATGACAGTTTTCAGCAAATACTTAACCGAACTTACTTTTTCATGAGGAAAGCACTGACTCTCTTGTGTGTTCTGTTGAAGTCTACAATGCGTCTGTGGACAAAGACAAACAGGGCCCCACCAAATCCACACACAATGCTGAAAGGAAACACACACAGCAGTCAATAGTTTGCATTGCATTACATAAGTACAACTATTAACTTCGTAAGTATGAACCAAGTTGGAAGACAACAAGAGTAGGATATATTGTGACTCTTACCCAATGAAAGCAAAGGCTATCAACTCCTGTGGGTCAAAGGGGAAGTCCACTCTGAAAGTTGTCTTGAATAGGGCGGTGATTGTTTCTGGTAAAAACAAAAACGATTTAGTTTAAATTGACAAGACAATATACAGACAAACCTTTCTATTTGCTGGAGCTTTACTGCGAAGCATTTCAATTACCTCAATGCACCCTGTCTCTGAATACATTCTATCATCTGTACTGTGGTATACAGTAATATTGCTGATGTACCTGTTGATAATACAGTTGATAACTACAAATAATCAACATACAGAACAAGTAAAAAAAAGCAGAACCCAAATCTCAAAAGTTATTATTTCATATCTAAAACAAGAAAAGCATTGTCTAAAAACACAAATGCCCCACAACCATGACTGCTCCCATGACATAACACCGCTCTATTAACATCAACTTACCTGGATAACATGGAATGTTCATTGACATCATTACTATTTCCTGGTTATCTATGTAATGTATTGATGCCTATGATACCGGAATACATTTTTGTTTTTTTGCTTTTCTGTTGGGAAGTCATTGTATGTAATTTAAGCAAACTGACTGGATATTTTCAGTCTTAAGCGAGACATTTCTTATCTAGGCAAATCCTTTGAGCATATAATGCTTTGAGCATAAGGCCTACATGGAAATAATTGTTCTCTTTTGTTCTCTGGTATTTTTTGTCCACAGTTTGAAAAGATGAACATGTACACACACACAAACGTGTGTTCACCGTCGATCGTGGATGTCCTATTGTCCCTCTTTTGTTTGGTAGCACCAAACCTAATAATGACTGGAAAGCCCATTTCATAAGCTACTTTTAGATGAAAAAATTACAGAAATTGCTCAATCCGTTCAAATTATACCACCATTTAAACACCATGGCCCTAAAACCTCTTTCGTCCAAACATGTGATTTCAAGAATCCTCGTCACAATTGTCTTCAAGCACACGAGCGATAAAACCTCGGTTTAAAAGTTAAAAATATTCAACAAAGTCCTTTTGAAGGCCCGTCTTTTAAAAAAAATGGATTTTATAAATCATATTGTTTGCCTAACCAGGGTTGTTAACAACGATATTGTGTTCTACAAGTATTCTGTGTCATTTTCTTTGGTGCTTCAAACAGTCAGAATACACAATAAACTGCTTTTTTTGGTTGAAACAGGTTTTAGTGTCATTGCGTTTAAATGGTATATTCTATGAACGGATTGAGCAATTTCAGTAATTTTTCCATCTAAAAGTAGCTTATGAAATTAGCTTTCCAGCCATTATTATTTTTGGTGCTACATATTTTTTTAAATATGAAATATATTTTTGGGGGTTTGGGTTACACATTTTTTTTTTACTCACCCTGTATGTAATCAAAATCTGTGTGGAAAGACTGGATCAGCTGATACTAACATTCTCTCAAAGTACAGGGCATACATAGCCCAGGTTGGACGAAGTCTTCATTGCATTACGACTGACGTCCAGGATGAGAATTCTCTACATAAGACCACCCAAAATTTGGACCAGATTTTTGTTACGTTTTACCTCGTTACAGAAGCTTATTTCACGTCTACATTTTCTATGTGTCCTTCTCTATAGATCCAGGGGTTCAGGAATTCCATATGTGATGCTGACCGACATTAATCAGGAAAATAAACTCTAAAGCAACGTTAAACTTGTACGTGTTTGTAGTCTCTTTTCATCAGTTTTATTCCCGAGTCGTACGTCATGTACGTGCGCACAAAAGCGCACACGCACGCGCCCTCATTTGTTTAGTTTTGGTTGGAACAGTGACTCACTCCAGCCAACCAACGTCACGAAAACGCTCAACCAATGACCAAAGCCGAAACATGTTTCTGGTAACTGGTACTAAAACACGCTCGGTCATTGGATTAGCGACCGCGCCTTCAAGTAAGTGCGCGTGCGTATGAGGGTGGTTACTAAGCAAATCGCGCGTGCGCATTGCATATTCACGCTGCATAGTCTGGCTCCCAGACCAAACGTGATATGAGCGCCGAGAATAATTGTCAGGTCTAGGGAACCAGACTACACGCTGCACGGACGTACGTCATGTACGACTAGAATAGACTCGGCGGTGAGAAACTGATGAAAAGAGTCTACAAACACATACAAGTTTAACGTTGCTTTAGAGTTTATTTTCCTGATTAAGGTCGGTCAGCATCACATATGGAATTCCTGAACCCAGCGGCCCAATAGATAAGGACACATAGAATACTACGACGTAAAAATTGGCTTCTCCATCAAGGTAAAAATATTGAAAATATTGGTCATAAATTTTTTCGCCCGGTTTTGAGCACTTCATACCCTGGACTCCCTCCGTTACGTAGGGAGGAAAGGGAGTCCACCTGGGCTAAGGGCATACATACCTTCATCTTTGTTCCAAACAGCCAACAGTCTGAAGACAAATGCCCCACATACAGCACCAAAGAAACCCCGCCAGTAATTCCGCACAGCAAAATATGTGGATGTGACTTCAATGCTGAACAGCACACCACCGATGGGGGCAGCAAAGTTGCAGGAAACACCCACAGCACAGGCTGCTGCTAGCATCTCACTGTTCCTGGATTCATTCTGAAATGGGAATGTTACAGCAATACTCTGCCTCAATAGATGATATACATACTTGGAATATTTTGGATCAGAAAAACAAATTTATGCTTTATGAGTAGGATTTAAGGGGAACTTCTTCTTCTTCATTCATTCATTTTCATGATGACTTGATGAGTTGGGCCCAAATGCCCCTGTCGAGCATAGTGTTGGAAAGAGACGGACCACTCAGACCAGTTTCTAGCTCGATGGATGTTTTCAGGGTCATGTTTGGACAACCTTTTCGTCGAGGGGCTTCAGGATTCCAGAGGAGAACTTGACTAGCTGGCTAGGGAAACTAATTTCGTAATTAGGGAAGTAACGTTGAAGAACTAATCACTTGATTAATTCATAATTGCAGCTGATTGTGGAATATTGGGGGACACATGATGATTAAGTTGTGTATTGAGGTTGGATGGCTATGAAAGTTGGAAATGGATTCTTGGAGGATTGAGGTGACACCTTGAAGGGAATATACAACATTTGCAAACATCGAAAAATAAAACTGCCAAGTTTTTATGAAATACCTTAATAGGATGTTGGTAAATAACAGTCTAAAGCATCCTGTAAACTTATGGGCACCTGGTGTGAAGTCATTTTCAAGAAAATGGTATTTTTGTAAAAATTTCCAGCGGTGGTCGGCCGACCACCGTTGGAAAAACCTAACTATTTTTCAACTACTGCTCCAAATTCACCATTAATTCAGTCCAAATTCTGTTCGCTATTGGTTACATGTTCATGAACGGGTCAGCTAGACTGGTACCCTTACCTTACAATTTCCCGGCATCTGTAAATTGATCTATTTTATATTTAGTGGAGTCTGGGGAACCAGACTACTTGAACAGTTTTGTTTTTCTTGGATTTTCCAGCATTTTCGAACACAAAATTTGAAACATGTCAGTGTAACAATATTTGATCTATTATACTAACCCCTCAAATAGTTCATTTCTGAAAATTACAGCAAAAGCCAATGATGTATATTCCCTTTAATTCTTTCCAGTTTAATGTTTGATGATGGAGAACGGATGGTGACAGACATTCACTTGTTGAAAGAGTTGAAATTCATATTCTTTTAAAACTGAACAAACTATTCCACTGGACATCAACATTAAGATCTTGGAGGATTGAAAATGCATCCTAGATAATAGGGGTCCAATTAGAAAGTCTTGAATAGATGCCACTGAAAGCACATTTCCTGAATGTGATTAAAGTTGTTACCTCAAAGATGCCCTTGAATGTTACAATGAGCTTGCTGAGGATGGTGGATACAATACTGGCAATGTGCACAAAGGGGCCCTGTAGGGAATAACATAAGAACAGTAACAATTAGAAAACATATTTTTAAAGAAACTGTGTACGGAATCTGACCAGGTGCATTAATTATTTTAAGGTTGAACAAAGAAATTGACTGGAGAGGGGTTTGAAAATGCTAGTTAGAGGCCAACAAAAAAACCCAATATGCAGCCAGGAACACAACCAAAGTCACAATGCAAGCAACATTAGCAATGCTGCAAACCCGGGAAATAGCAACTTGGGATCACTCACAGATAATCAGATAAAAGTACATGTAGTAGATTCCTTATTCCTGACAGGCAACTACATTGTTTTTCACAATATCAAGGGAGTTGCTCTGTCATCGTGCTATGATTCAATCAAGCAACATACTTGGCAGTTACATGTTTGATTTAAAAGTAGATATTTTTCAGTTTCACATTTTTTAACCTCCATCTCATTGCCAAGTATTTTCTCTGTACATGGTGACATATATAGGAGTAAACAGCATTTAAGCAATGCATTCATTCTTTGGAGTCAAGGAAAAAACATTCGGTTAAGTATTGGGCAGAATACTCTGCACTGGAGGACTTGAAAACTAAATCTATGTAGTGCTTGGGTAAAAATGGCAAATTAACACTTAAGAAGGAACAGTGAAATATAAATACTTCTTTTCCGATGGGCAGGCCACTTCCAAGTGATGTGGCCACTCCAATAACCTTAGATATCAGGGTACGGAATGACAGGTATTCCTTCAGCACTACTCCTCTCAGAATGGTCTTCATCTCTGGTATTCCAGAGCCTACAGGTGGGTTGTCAACCAAAAAAACAAGATTTACAGGTTGATAACATTAAACACACAAGATCTGCCTATCTACATGGGCAACTGAAACGATACGCCTGTGTCACGATACGATATGTATCACGATACATATCAAACGATACGATATATATCGCGATACATCTTGGTATAAAAAAATAAATAAAATCATAACAGATGAACTTAATCAGGGTCTAGGTCCTCTTTAATCTGTCTCTACTCGTTTCTGATAATACACAAATACAGTAAGGTACTACCGTAATTTTCGAAATATACATGTAAGCCGCGCGGCGTATAAGCCGCACCGACCACAGCGGTTTCAATTTTGTAAGGCCTCCAAATTCTAGTCAAAATGCTCTGAACCAGTTCCATTTACACTACAGAGCTATAAAAAGGGCCACAAAAGTTATATCAAATCATTTACAATCGATACTCTAACAAACAAATATGGAAATTGATGATGAGAAATAAACTACGGGAATTGCTGCCGGCTGCCCCGTCCGGTCCCCGGCCTTAAAAGTTAATGCATGGCCCGGCAGCATGCGCCGGGGAATGACAACATTTTCCCGCTGCACGTGACGTGAGAGAGTATGCAACCCACCGTGTGTTGTCTGACTGGAGCGTTACAAATCTTGCTTTTGTGGAAACAGTTGCTGATTTGTTTTGACCTAAGACTAAACAGGTCCCGTTTTACCTCAAAACTTATCAGATTTGTGTGATTACTAGCGAGTAGTTACGTTGAAAGTTCAAGTTTCGATCGTAACTTTCTTCAAAACACCAAAGATCTTGTCCTGTAGCGCCGTAGGAAACGATGCTGACATTTTCATGGGCGAATCCATTAATTTCGCAAGGGGTGATTCAGTCCCCTTTTTTAGTTTTACATCGTTTCTTGAATACATTTCAGGAAAAAATAAATATTGTGACGTTGAACAACTTATTATCTAATAAAGAAATATTTCAAACACCATAACAAGTATTAGTCGTCATTTTTCTTTTTTTAATCAGCGGAAATATTGGTAATTATTGTTCCCAAGAAAGAACACCACCCCTTCATTACCACAAAGGTGTGGTCCGCTGGGGAATTAAGCATGCTGCATGGCAGCAGCTGCACTAGTATCACGATGGAGGAATCCTCCATGGTATCTCGTACGGCTGGTCGCAAGCGTCTAAGACAGCTTTCACCGTACTTTTTACCGCTCGGTTTTGGTTTTGGTTTGTTAATAACTTTATTAATTGATAATTCATTTCAGCAACACATCTCTTTCTTGTACCAGTACATTAAATACACAGGAAAATCGGCATGAACTTTTCACGTGCGTGCGCTCGGAAAGGTGAGACTTCAACTCTTCGCATTATTATTTTTACATTTCGTGCTTCTCATGCATCGCAGTTGCTTGCAATTTTGTTTCGGTGCGCTGCCGCTGTTATTTATTATATTATTATTAATAATATCGATATATCAAACATTCGTACCGGTCGATATGTTATCGCATCTTGAACGAATGTATCGCGATGCACCGGTATATCGTTTCAGCCTTAATGGGCACAGCCCGAGGCAGAGCAAGAAGTCCATTACACCTCAACTCATCTAACAACTCATATTTCACTGATGGTCACAGAAAGCAGTCTGTAAAAATAATGTGCACAAACCTGTGCCGAGGAGCTTGCCTCTAGGTGCATTCAACTTTCTGTCATGTCTCAGTCAATAAGGTAGTAATTATGCATCAAGTCCACACAGTCATCATTTCAATGTGTGTTGACTGACAATCGTATTGCAGAAGACACCAATAACACAAAATCTAATCGTCAAATTTAGAGATTGACAATTCATATCTTACCTATGGCATTTGGTGATACCAGATGCACAAATCCTGTGGAGAAAATGATGAAGACGATAGGAAAGCCAGTCCAGGCAAAGTACTGTACAAATGGAGAGCCCTTCAGTACTGTAAAGAGCTGGACTTGAGCTGTCAAAAGAAACAGGGGGAAAAAATAAAAATAAGACCTACTACACTTTGTAAACAAAAGAAGCTTTGTGATTGGTGTCATATCTCAGGGTGAGAATTATGAGTCCCCTCTGTGGTGAAAATATAGATGACCATTGCTAGGTAGGAAATGACGATTAACTTGATAATAGTGCACATGTACATTGTATGCACTAGGAACCTTCCCAATTCTATCAGAAGCCAACATTGTGCAAAATTAGGCTAAACAGTCATGGAAGGTTGGCATTAAAGCTAAAACATAAAAGTATCAACAAAAAGTACCAATACATCCACACACATGTACACAACATGAAACATGTCATTCACTGAAATTGTTTCTTGTTAATTTTTTTTCCTCACAAATTTAAAGGGACACCTCATAACAAGTATATATCCCCAAGCATCCATCTGTCAACGCACTGCAAAGCCTGGTACAAAAACCATTCTTATTTGCAAATAGAAAAAGAAAAAATATGGGGGGGGGGAAGGTTTACCTGTTTGGAATTTAGCAATGGCATAGTCCATAGCAAATGATAGCAGTGCCATAATGATGCCAAGTAGGGCTAGAAAGATCCAATCTTCCCCTATCTTACTGAAGACAAAGTCACGGAACCAGATCAGATTAGCTGGAACAAACCAGAGATTTATAAACATTCAACACATGTCAAATGATTGAAACATGTCACGCAAATCACTGATGAGTGATGAATAAAGTAGAATGTCACTGATTATGCCAATTACTTATGGATAAAGCGTGAACCATGCGTTGATGCAACCCCAACCTCAACAAACATTACAGCTCCAGACTAAACAGAAAACTAAACAACGAGTTAAGCATTAACCATCTATTCCATATGTCTTTGGTTGAACTCAGAGAAATTAACAAAAGTAGAAATGTCCAGAATACCATGAATACTACATGTATACATGTAACTGCTGTTCTACAGGGCAAGTAAAAAAAAAGCAGAACCCAAACCCCCAAAAATGTTTTTCATATTTAAAAAAATATGTAGCACCAAAAATAATAATGACTGGAAAGCCAATTTCAAAAGTTACTTTTAGATGAAAAAATTACTGAAATTGCTCAATCAGTTCAAAGAATACCACCATTTAAACGCAATGACCCTAAAACCTGTCTTGTCCAAAAAATCAATTTATTGCGTGTTTTGACTGTTTGGAACAACAAAGAAAATGACACAGCATACTTGTTTCAACAACCGTCACCAACTGTAGCACACAATATTTTGATTAACAACCCTGGTTAGGCAAACAATATGATTTATAAAATCTACTACTTTAAAGACGGGCCTTCAAAAGGACTTTGTTGCATATTGTTAACGTTTAAACTAAGATTTCATCGCTGGCGAATTGTGACAACAATTGTTGAAATCGCATTTTTTGGACGAGACGGGTTTTAGGGTCAGTGTTTAAATGGTGATTTTTTTTAACGGATTGACCAATTTCAGTAATTTTTTCAATCAAAAGAGGCTTATGAAATTGGCTTTCCAGTCATAATTACTTTTGGAGCTACATATTTTTTTAAATATGAAATATAATTTTTGGGGTTTGGGTTCCGCTTTTTTTGACTCACCCTGTATCAACTGAATCATTCAGCCTTACATGTACATGTGCACAGCCATGTACACGTATATTAGCAGTCTTCATCAAGTTTTCCATGTACAATTTCTGTCTGTTTTACGTCCACTGCATGTCCAGACCTATTCTAAACTGTACATATACATGTGCAGGTCTAACCACGACTGAACACAAAATGGACTGAATAGTTGCAGACGGAAAGACACTTTTTCTGACGTAAATTTGTTGGACTGTATCGCACTATTCCTAATGGAACATGTTCAAGAAGGAGGTTACATGTACCTTATATAAGTCATGTACACTGTATGTATCAGTACTTACATTTGACTGTATAGCAGCAGGTTCCCCTGTACTGTCTGAACTCATCATCCAGCTGCTTCTGTCGTTTCTGCTCCTCCTTCTGTCTAGCTGCCTCAGTCTTAGCAAATTGACTCAATTCCTGCCGATACCTGCCATACATCTGTGGATTTGCAGGCAGTTTACAATTATTAATCTTACCCAACTTCTTGCCCACTTTTGTAAATGTGACATTTGATGGTACTCCATCATCTGTGCATGACCCATAATTCTGAACGTTGGGAGCTGGTCTTGCATGTGAGAGACTCTGGTTCTGATCCGAGTCTGTGCGGTTGTTACTCTCTCTCTGTCTGCTCTTGTACATCAACTTGAAGTATGGTTCACAACTTATATCAGTTTTTGCACTGTCAGTCCTGATAAATAACGTACGAGAGGCAATACTGGCCTCAGCAGCTGTAAGGGATAGCTCATTGCCAGCTCGGATTGGTTGTAATTCTAATATTGACTCATGTTCAGGTTTGAAATGGACACTGTTTACATCCGTGATCCTCCCAGGGCATGAATGCCGCAGTTTGTTATATCCACGCTTTGAGTCTGACTTTGGATGCCTTGCAAAAGGGTGCAAGTGTAGCCTAGGGTGCCATCTGTGGTGTTTGGAATGCAGCTTACGTCTGCCTTGTAGTAGACCAAGCTCCTCATCTGTATCATCATAGTTTCTACGTTTGCTTTTCAAATGTGGCATGGCATTGAGAAATGACACAAATGGTTGAGTGTATGTTCCCTCTACATATGCCATGATGATGCTGAGTACAGTTGAATTCCAGATGTACAATTATTGAGTACCACAAGGGTCAAATGAAAGGACTCCAGCAACGCCCACGATCTTACAAATATTTTTCCAAAAGCCCAAATAAACAATATTAAAGACACACATTACAAGAAACTTGTAGCCACCAATGCATACTGCGACAACCTCAGAAACTTTCTGACAATTAAAGTGTATAAACTCCCAGCTTGTAAGCTTTTCCAGGCCTTCGTTTTGTGGTTTCAGACCAGAAATAACTGAACAATGTATGATCGGGCTTGTATGAGCTATTCCAAAAGACAAGCTTTTAGTCAGGAACTCAGAGATCATATCCTTTTCCTGTTTTCCTTTGCTACCACAATCAATGTAAGAAGTCCACACATGTGTGAGTCACCAAAAAAGCTACTATTGGTTTAAAGTTGCAAACATCATAAAACAAAATATCTTACTGGATTATTAGGGAATGACAGTCTAAAGCATCCTGTAAACTCGTGGCTCCTGGTGTGCTGACATTTTCAAGAAAAGCAGTACTTTTCCAACGGTGGTTGGCCGACCAGCATTGGAGAAAACTGGCTTTTTTCAAAAAGTGCTCCTAATTTTTCCTAATTATAGTTATTCCACATTTTCTTGGCAATTGATTACACACCTGTGAAGGTGAACAAGCCTTCTAGACTGATTCTCCGACCTTACAATTCCCCAAAGTCTATAAATTGCTCTGATCGATCTTAAGTGGGGTCAGGGAACCAGACTACAAGAACATGATTGGTTTTCTTGGTTTTTCCAGCATTTACAAGCCCAAAACGTGAAACAGGCCATTTTAACAATTTTTGCTATAACATACTGTACTGATCCTCCAAATCCATTTATTTCTGAAAATTGCAGCAAAAGCAAGTATTGTACATTCCCTTTAACACCAACAGATGGCAATTTAAAAATCATTGAGTTTCGTTCTGACGGGTCATTATGTATGGATGTATGTATGCATGTAAGTATGCACCTGTAAAGACATACAGGTACATGTATACAGTGTTCTCCAACTTTGAAAAGTAAAGGTCCGTGCGCCGTCAAAAAGTGAAGGGTGGGGGCGCTATATGCTAGGGCTAGGGCTATGACTGCTGTGCAGTCATACATTTCTATAAGCTAGGGGGTGCTATTTGCAGATGAACATGTAATTTATGTATGGAAAACAGCTTTTAGGCCATTTCTAAAACAGTTACACTTACAGTTGAGTACAATACTGGCCCAGCATCATCTTTTTTAATACATCAGTGCCCAGGGACTCTGAGGCAGTTTGGCTTCGAGACTTTTGATCTGATGGATTGTAACAATGGGCAGGCTTGTCAGTTTGACAAGTGTTGCATGTTATTACTTTTGGCAGAGTTTCTGACCAAAATATACCCTGGAGGGTAACGGTAGTCTCACTTGTTTGTCTTTTTTATTATTTTTTTCCTTTTTCTTTCAAAGCATGGCGAGCAACTTTTTAAGCATGGCGGCAACTTTTTAAGCTTGGCAGGTGCCTCAGAAAGCTTGGCGGGGCACCAGGTTATTTTTACAGGTTGGAGAACACTGGTATATATCTCCACCCTTATCATGTGAATGTCACAAGTTGATCCTGTCCTCCATTAACTCTAACTCCCAGCATGATTAACTAAGAACCATACCCATCCTGGCAAATTCCAACACCATATGGGAAACTGCATATACCGGTACATATTTCTGACTTTGTTTCTGGATTTGTGCCAACCCAATGTAAAAGACTGTCAGTTTAGGGGTACAGTACCCATCCTGACAGATTCCAACAAAACATGCCGTTGGGGTTTGATGGGTTGAGTTCTGTTAGGCTTCATAATAATGCATTCTTTAGTAATCAAGACAATTATTGTAATTTCAGAAACCATATCTTGCATATAATTATGAGGGAAGATGTGATTATGCGGATAAATGAGCACTTCAATTCTACTTATAAGCAGGAATAATAGCATGCACCAGTTTGAAGAAAAAAAAGTCATGGCCATGTCACCTTTTTTTTTGACAAGGCTTGTACTTTTTGATAATGTTTAGGTGTTGTCTTTTTTCATGCTGAACTTCATTATGTGATATTTGAAGGTGACTCGTGGGTGCCATTCTTATTCACTTCATGCATGTATCGCCCTGAAATTTTTAGACGTACATTTGTATTTGAAGAATCCACTGAAATAAACTAAATATTCATGAGAAATTAAATGTTCATTCATAATAACGTATTGCACTATCATTGGCCAGCTCATGCGCTGTCATGGTTGTCGATGTCATGCGTATAACGTACCGCAGTTTTCCAGACACTTTCAATTTGACAAGCTGCCTCCACTTAATTCTGCACATCGTGTGCATCCAAAATGTGCTCTAAAAACACATTTTTCAAAAAAAAAATTGTATTGGCGAGGCTTCCTGGATTCATCTTGGGTGAAATCACAAGGTGAGGTGAAAATTGATGTTTGGTGGCCCAGTACGAAATTCTTTCCTTAAACATGATGTAACGTAAATGCGCAAGGCCCGCCGAATCGAACAGCACCAACCGTAAACCGCATGGGAAAATCGTAATTTCTACCCCAACAAACTGTTCAATAATTACCAAAAAAGTGTCATATTGAGAGAAGGTAGCCCCATAAATGTGGACAATTTACTGGACTACCTCCGTAAATAAAAGCCACACTTCCACCAATGTACAAAAACATGTTGAACTTTGTCAAATTTGGATTTTCACATTTAGGCTTAGTTTGAAGTTTATTTTTGCTTTAGAAGCATACTCACCCTCTATAGGCTAATCAGAAACTGCTGCCTTTTTCAGATGTCTATTTTTCGTGAAATTTCCAGATTCATTTGCACACGTTTGCGTATCAAAATTTCAACATGAAATTTCACGAAAATTGTTCACGCAGAGATTGTGATCGATCGATGATTTTCGGTTCCCTCGATCGGAGCGCACCGTGGGGGGTACGGTACTTGCACTTGTACGCATGCGCATACTATCAGTTTGCATGTACTGTACCCCCCCCCCCCCACGGCACGCTCCGAGCGAGCCGAAAATCATCGAGCGATCATAATCTCTGTGTGCACGTTTTAAGTGTCAGATTAGCTCAGTGCGGAAAGGGCATATTTTTCAGCATTTTTGCCTAAAAACAGACAGAATCCAGCGATGTTTGTTAGGCGCACATAACGTGAATATGTCATGAGGTATTGTAGGAAGTTTAGGGGCGAACTGTGCAGCGGTTCTGTGAGAAATGTCTCTGTTTTGATGGATGTTTTTGTACTTAATTGGTGTTCCGTGCTGCAAACAATTTTGCGGGGTTCTGTGTCTATGAGACTTCGCTTATGCATTTCATCATACTAGTTCTAGGAGTAATAAATTTGGCCTATTTACTGGACTACCTCTGTTTATTTACGGAGGTAGTCCAGTAAATAGGCCACATTTATGGGGCTACCTAGTCTGAAAATTTGGGACTCTCAATAAAATTGTGTATGAGAGTCCCAAAACTTAAGGTATTAAAAACATGCAATACAAGAAAATAGACTGGCACCTAAAACAACCAGTCCAACACAGCTTCAGTAGTGCATCAATCAACCATGCCAAAAGATTTTAAGAAACATGTGGTATGAACCGGGAACTAGTCTCAATTTACTACACATTTCTCCATAGTCAAGCCACCAGACTAATGACACTGAATGAAGAGGTCAGTCTTTTCAAATAGTTGGATCATGGTTGGACATGTACCAGTCAAGTCTTTAGCCCCATTTTGAAATCAATTGACTTCCCTCTCATACATGTGCAAAATATTGAAGAAAAGTCTCCTTTAAAAATTGAATTGAGTCTGCAAACTTGGTTGGTGAAATACTGAGGACATTTTCTTTGCCCCAGTGGAATTTTTGAGAAATTTGCTGACTAAACTGTGAGTAAACTCAGTAAAGTGGGCCTGATTTAGTTTTGCACGTTTCAGAGCACTCCAGAGCCCTGTCTGGGGGCTACCTTGACTCTAATTTGATCGAAACTAAACAGGGGCCCTATCCGCTCCGTTCACAAGTACCCCCTCACTGGCAAAGGAAGCACAGTTGGGGGTGATCGACGGACGCCATCTTGCCTGACTACATTTTCTGCGAAGCGCGGCCACTGCGTGTATATTGTACAAATCCCATGGTGTACGTGCATCACACACGAGGAATGGTGCGTGTCAACCAGCAAAATGTCCCGCCCATGGGACGTCATTGCTAGGTAAAAGTGCGCCCTCTTTCGGTGGCGCACGGAGCTCATACACTACACGAGTCTGTCACGATTGCCGTTTTCCTGGCAATCGTGAAGTGTAGGGCCCGGTTCCTATATAACGAGGGAACAAAATCCACTTAAAAATTATAGGGACCTACCAACATGACCAAACCAATTGGGACATTCTCAATAAACAAGTATGTCATAGATAGAGGGCAAGGTTTTCATTTTTGACGGAAATTTGGGGGTAAAATGACGATGACAGCGCGGTGACAACACGCGACCCGAAAATAAAGATGGCGATCACCGCACGATGTACCGTGAGCATGCACGGCGCGCTGAATCGCAAGGCACAAACCGCGCAGGAAAATCGTGATTTCTTCCCCAAGAATCTGTTTAAAATTGCAAAATAGGTGTCATTAGAAGTGAGAAAAGTCCGCTTTTGATTGTTAAGGTGATTTTTTAGCAATTAATTTTTGACTCTAATTTGATCAAAACATACAGAGGACCTACACTTCACGATTGCCGTTTTCCTGACCCTGGCTGATTTCTGTACAATAGTGTCCATATGTCACACAAATTTAGCATTTTGTTGGACTCAACAGTTATATTGAAATACCAAAAAATGTTGTTCACATCAGTGATACAATAAGAACATTAAAACCCTAACCCCCTAGGCCCTTGTTGCTTACAACCATCCTCAATCCTCCAAAATCCTCAAAAAATTTTCAACTCTTTTTTTCAAAATTTTTCAAAATTGTCAGACAGTCCTGCCTCAAAATGCATTCATCCTCAATCCTCCAAAATCCTCCTTATCCCAAAACTTTGCACTCGTGTTTAAATGAAGGATAACCAACGCCAAATCCTTCAAAATCATCAGACAGTCCTGCCTCAAAATGCATTCATCCTCAATCCTCCAAAATCCTCTTGTGCTTCATTCACCATTCATCCTCAATCCTCCAAAATCCTCATGTGCTTCAATCACCATTCATCCTCAATCCTCCAGAACCCTCATTTGATTCAATCACGATTCATCCTCAATCCTCTAGAATCCTCCAAAACCGCCAGGAGGATTTTGGAGGAGTGAGGTGGGTTAGGGTTAAGAAATTACATTTATTTATAAATAAAAACACCTACATTTTGTTCATTATCACACACAAAATGTCAGACATCATGGACAAATTCGGCACACATACAATGATACATGTACATGTACATGTACATACACCAATGTAAAAAGGAAGAAGGGGGGGGGGGGGGACCTAGGACTCAGGCGTAGGAGCAGGGGGGGGGGAACCCTGAAAGGGCCTGGCAAGGTAAAAAGGGAAAATTCCACCATCTGGAGGGGGACAAAGCTATAAAAATGGCAATGTGGGTGGAACATGTATTAAAAAGGGAGAAATTTAACATGCACAGAATTCAGTCGTTTTCCTAGTTCCGGATAGCAAACATCATTCAGGCTGATTTCGGCTCAACTACTCCACGAATTCAAGTGACATTGATTAAAAAGTTTACCTTGAGTGATGGAGAGACCACGAAATAATTTTCAAAATTTAAGCTCTTTTCATTTTGATTTTACGACGTCAAAAGTGCCGACATCACTTTTCCTAGTTCCGGATCAGTTCCATCAGTTCCGAATCGATCAAAACTGCTTCATGCAAAAAAAAAATCACGCGAGAAAATCCCTTTTTAACCAGAACCAACCGAATCAAACATATTTTCTGATAAAGTATAATTTCATTATCCAAAAATAGTTCATGCAAGAGAATTCCAGCAAATTTTAAAAAGAGAAAAAAGATAAATGATTTTGAAACTTTTGTCTGCAGCACAACGGCTCGAACTCACGCACGGACCAAAAATCTTTGACCCAGCAGAATACGTCACACAAAATCGATTAATGCGCATGTAGTTGGGTCATAAGTGCGCGCGCGAACCGGAACTAGGCAAAAGCATACGGTCATTCCTTGGCGAATTTTCAAATATTAGAGACGCTACAACTTATTTTGATTGAACAAAGATTCGATGGAAGAATTTATACAATTGTAGTGAATGAAAAAAAAAAAAGTTCGAAACCACACAGTACGAGAGATATACCGAGGAGAAAATTTATCGTCGATTCGCAGCTCCCGTGATTTTCTTTAAACCGTCCAAACATATCGGAGTGCAAGTCGGAAATCTGGCCAAAATTCCTTTTCTAAAGATTTTATCGAAAAGATCTTTGGGTATCAAGAAGCTTACATTTTTCTTTTCAACATGCACTCCATCAGAATTTTGTTTATTGGAGACTAATCAAAAAGAAGTAGGGGCCGTTTGAAGCGATCCGGAACTAGGAAAAATCCGGAACTAGGAAAACGACTGTAGGCCTAGGCCTAGACCCGTGAACGTAGCTTGTAAACTACGCCACGCTGTTGTATTTTCGAACCTGGCGAAATTGTCCCTCTGACTCCCTCCGTTACACACACTGGACGTTATTTTGTCAATGTAATAAGTACTCACATATGAAGCTATCTTGAAATCTGTTTGTACGTCAAAACTTGCATTTGACAAAATTTGAGGAAAATTCTGGCCCCGGTTTATGAAGTCCTGCTAGCTGCCATTTTCTCCCAACTGACGCATGCGCATTGTGTTTTATTGTACTGTCCTGTTTCGTATGATTCGACGGCTGTTAACTGTCTCAGCTAAAAGAGACATCGTTTTAGACAAGTTTCAAGTCCTTTCCTCTCTCACCGCACCGCACGCGGGCGCACGTGCGCCCACGTGCGTGTGCGCACACGTACACGAGATGAGCCGAGCAGCCAATTGGGTGCGGGGTTTTTTTTTTTCTTGGGTTTGCGACATGAAACAGCCGTCAATCTGTCCAAGCGACTCGTCCGGGGTCATTTGTCAGGGTCACTTGTCGGGTTAAAATCTAATTTCTACACGTTCGTATCGGTCTTTATTGATGGCAAATTTCGTCGACATTACACAGCCTGAACAATCGGACGGGCAAATTTAGATTTCTAGGTGAGTACTCAACATGCATACAGAATTATGTATGGCGGATCGATTTCGCTAGGTTCAAAAATACACAACAGCGTGGCGTTGTATACAACGCCACGTTCACGGGTCTAGCCTAGGCCTAGCGTATTAAAAACCCCTATCAAAGTACCATCAGGAGTAGCCCGACTGCGTCTGGCCGTTCAGTACTATCGCAAGCTCTGTAATACGCTTGCGATAGTCTAGCCCCATAAATGTGGCCTAGTTACTGGACTGCCTCCGTAAACATAGGCCACACATCCACATGTACAAAAATCGTGTCGACTTTGCCAAATTTTGATTTTCACATTTAGGCTTAGTTTGTAGGATTTTTTTGCTTTAGAAGCATACTCACCCTCTTTATAGGCTAATCAGAAAGTGCTGCCTTTTTCAGATGTCTAATTTTTGTGAAATTTCATGTTGAAATTTTGATACGCAAACGTGTAAAAATGAATCTGGAAATTTCACGAAAAATATACATCTGAAAAAGGCAGCACTTTCTGATTAGCCTGTAAAGAGGGTGAGTATGCTTCTAAAGCAAAAAAATCCTACAAACTAAGCCTAAATGCGAAAATCAAAATTTGGCAAAGTCGACACGATTTTTGTACATGTGGATGTGTGGCCTATGTTTACGCATGGTTTACGGTGGCAGTCCGGTAAATAGGCAACATTTATGGGGCTAGCGATAGTCCTACTGTACGGCCAGACGCAGTCGGGCTACATCAGGAGAAAAAAACAAAGAGAAAAATTTAACATAAAACAAAGGCCTTATTTGATGCTCAAGTCCCAGTCAAACAACATTCAGAAGAAACCGTAACATTTTATGGAAATACACAGGGACACTGAAAGCTATATCTTTCCATATTAACTTAAAAGTGTTAGCGTATTTACCAAAGTTTGCTCGTAGCCGAGCTCTCGGCGGTCCGGTTGAAGCGCCATCTTGGAATATGTTGGAAACCCCCACAATGCAATGCTCCCTTATTAAATGGGCATGATGTCGTCGTCCGTCCGTCGTCTGCTCTCCGATTTACAGAAAGCAGAAAGGCACCACTCAAACCAGTCAAGGTTAAGTTAAAAACCAAATCATGCATTTGCCGCCAGGCAAACATCACTAGTCAATTCTTAAAAGAAGAAAATGCTTGCGCACGTAGCAAAATGAAATTTTATTGACCCCCACAAACCAATGAAAACATTTCCATGTGTCACCATCTGACCATCGTGACCCCGTACCGTGCGGGGGGGGGGGGGGGGGGGGGGCGGGGCGACAGCCCCCATGAAACCTTGTCACCCCCCAGTCGCCCCCCCCCCCCTGAGATTTTGAGTTTCAAAAAAGAATTATCATCGATCTACATGACGCCCCCCCCCCCATGAAAATGTTCCACCCCCCGCCCCCCCCCCCCCCCCCCCCCCCCCCCCCCCACTGTACTGAAAAATTCCTGGCTACGCCCCTGCGCGAACCACATGCACCAAGGATGAACCGAGAGTCCGTAGCATGCAGTAGAGGCAGACACGACGATGGCCACTGGAAGAAGAAAATGCCCGCGAAGAAAAATTTATATTGTTGATGTACCCTAACGTGGCGCGGCCCCCAACGTGGCGCACTTTGATTTTTCGCCTGTAGCGCCTACCTAGAGCAAAAGTTTTAACTGAAATTTCACAGAAAGTGAAATTTAATCAAGTTTTAAACACTCCTGTTCATAAATCGCGAGTTAATTTACCCGTAACAAAGTTAGAAGAACAATTTATTTCGGCGTGATTTTCCGATTTTATTTTCAAGTGCAAAGTGAACCCTTTGAAAATGCCCCGAAAAATAAAAAAATAATTTTCTGACAAACATCTGGCTGGGTATGTAAGTAGAGATAATAATGATTTATCACAATTTATCAAGTTTACAGAAATTCTTAAATGTTAATTTGGAATTTTCCGAGCTTTATTCAAGTGCACCACGTTAGGGAACACTCCGCCAACTTTTGCCCAATTTCCGGACGCCACTGTTTTTGAATTTCAGATTGAATTTTGTGAAACCGAAATTGTTCACATAGGTTATAGTGCAAGCATTAATAAGGTAAAAGTACTAGTATTTCACTGCATGAATTTGAGGTTTGTCAACAAAGAGGTTTGGCAACACTACACGAGGAAATTTGGGTAAGCTTCGAAGTGCGCCACGTTAGGGAACACGACTATATAGACGACCCGCGCATTTTCGCTCCGTGGGCGGGAAAGTCGCGACTCTGCCCACGATCGATTCCACATTTCCTCGCATGTTTCAGTGCGGATTGTTTTTCTGCGCGGGAGCCAACGCTCCGGGAGCCTTTCTTTAACATTTTATTGGTTGTAACTTTTGTCGGATAGATAGAGGTAGAAAACGCTAAAGGTCAATGATCTACCTGATATACCTACAGATTGGGACCTCCATGCACCAGCTTTCCAACAATAACCTGCAATGTTGTATAAGAATCAGCATCATTTCACTAGGCGTTGTCATGACATTCATCAGACCTGCATGTGCATGGTCGTACCACTTTAGTTAAAAAAAACCTGTTAAACATGAAGGGCCCAGCTGTAGAATTCTCTTAATCCTTTTCTTCAAAATATATCAAATGTATCATTATTCAAACGCAAATGTAAAACCTAATTAATTATAATTCTTTGCAGGTAGAATAATCTCCTTTTGTGACACCATTTAGTTATAATTTTAATTGGTATATGTACTAACTCTGTACCAACTTTTATTTTGTTATTTAACTTCTGTCGTTGTTCTTGTAATTCGTCGCAGAGCTGACATACCGACGAATAAGCGAAAACCCAACCTCGTCCCCAGTGCTTACTTTATTTCCAACCGCGTTTCCAATAGTAAACCCTGGATAGGAAACTTTCTTCCTGTATCCTGATTGGATACCGCAATTGGCTAGTAATGGATTTGTATCGTGTACTTGGTGCTATTATTCACAACGTGCAGTTTGCGATCATTCGTCCACGCCTTCTCGAAAATACTAATTTCCTTTCCAATTTGCTCATATTAATATGAAATATGATACTGCATGTTGTCTCGATAAGATCGTAACAGTTTTATTTAAAAAATCGTGTTTTCGTAACTCACGCCGTGCTCGCGCTGCTACGAATTGACTCTGTTTTTACCCCAGACACCGCATACAAAAACAAACGCTAATGTGTAACGCATATCTAGGCACCAGACTGTTCCTCATTTGCATACGTGTTCAAAAATCTTGCACATGCCAATGATCCAATACCAGGGTGAGAGAGCAGGTTGTGGTGGGCGCGTACTGCTCGACACCCTGGGGACGAGGTTGGCGAAAACCCTGTTTCAAGTAATTCGCGTTTGAAGTTGGACATTTTTCTGGGCGTCGTATTCATTGATCTCCATATACACAGGGATCAATGGTCGTATTTTACCCTTAATGTTTCGATAATAACCCTTTTAGTGTATATTCGAAATAAATAGGAAACGTAGTACCCATCAGGTCACTTATTTAATCAGAAAAATTTTGCGATATGATTTTATTTGATCGTAAACGTATTCGTCAGTTTGTCAATTTACAAAAATCTAGTATAAATAGCCGGTTGATCGTCACACCGTTTGTTTGCTATTCGTCAGTTTGTGGGATCGCGCGCGCACGCGCGCGCAATCCGACAAACTGACGAATAACATTCGTTGGTACTTTGAACGCACACCTTACATAAGCTGGTTACCTATGGTGTTCTATAGACGCCAAATCTGCGTCGCGTCGTGCTTTCACGTCGTGCCGTCGCGTCGTACCGTCGCGTCGTGCCGTCGTGCCGTCGTCCGTCGCGTCGTGCCGTCGCCCGTCGCGTCGTGGCGTCGCGTCGTGCCGTCGCCCGTCGCGTCGTGCCGTCGCCTCTTAAATTACCATGTCTAAGCACGTACACTGCATGAGGAAGCGACACACCTTCACACGTCGCGTCGTGCCGTCGTACGTTGCCTCGTGCCGTCGTGCGTCGCGTCTTGCCGTCGCCCGTCGCGTCGTGCCGTCGCTTGTTACCTCGGCGCTTCTAAGTAGACTGCTTGAAGAGACGACGCACACATTGCCCGTCGCGTCGTGCTGTCGCCCGTCGCGTCGTACCGTCACCCGTCGCGTCGTGCCGTCGCGTCTTGCCGTCGCCCGTCGCGTCGTGCCGTCGCCCGTCGCCCGTCGCGTGACTGTATCTTTCTTGGCAATAGGTGGCGCCTTCATTCTTCATGTACATGTGCTTAATAGAAAGGGGTGTACATTTCGCCACTACATTTTAAGTTAAATGGAATGGAGTTTGGCCGCCACCATGCATTAAAGTTTTTATCAGACTTGTGTTTTCTTTAAAAGAAGTGGTTGTCTGGCTAGGAAAATAGCAAGGAAGAACCGGTTTTGTGCGAGCAAAATTCAGGGAACAATCTGTTGATACTAATAACTTGTTGGAAAATTCCAAAGTCATTTCAAGAAAGTTGCCGCCGTGAATAAGGGTTTAAAACAAGGGAGGAGGATGGGATTTGCTATCAGCATAAGCAGGGCCGTTCCTCATTCTTTTCTTTTTATGGGATGTATGATAAATTGGAGTACGAGGGGCTCTGCGAACTGATGAATCTTTTTGAAAACATTGTATTTGCAACCAGCTAGGGAAGATTTCCGTTTATTTAAGACTTAGAGGCACTGGTATGGATACCTGTGTAAGTATATGACTAAACTGCCCTTGTTTAGGTTTTTTCTTTTTTGGAAATTCAATACGCATATAGGGAGCTGGGTTGCGGTGATGGGTGGGTTACAACTTGTCAACACATACCTCGCCAGCGGGCCCTTAGATTGGTGATAACCGGAGAGCGAGAGTTTCAAAAAACTCATCCGGTGTTTAGGCGACGCAGGGACTGGTTTGTGGCAGCAATTATGCGCCGCAGCACCTAGCAAAAAGGTGCTACATAATGGGTCTCATAATGTTCATATACTTCATTTTCCTGGCTTTGGTTGCATTCTCCCCCAGCGCTTTGTATCCTCTGGCAAAAAGCGCTATACTAATACAGTTATTATTATTATTATTATTGTGTACATGTGGTTTTTGTTTCTAGTTCACTTAATGATTTGATTTATACCGGTGATAATATGCCGTCCCACCTGTTTTTTCTTTTGTGTGTGTCGGGGGAAACAGTGCATATTTTCTGTGCCCTTTTTACGCACTTCATCAGTCACCCTTTGTTTAATTCTTTTGTACGTATTTACTTTATTGCTAATGATGGTTAAGAATATTTTACGCGTGAGCATTTCTTGTAATGATCAGATTAAGTGGATTCCTTATTTTTTATTTTTTATTTCGAATTCCATGCCTAAATGACCATTATGTTAGTTCTGTTCTTCAAGAAGGTCCAATAGGACTTGTACGTCCTCCTCATCCACGTTTTTTTCTTGGCTGGATGGTGGAGATGGGTTCATCCTTGATCGGACCAGGCCATCTTTTATGTTTTTTTGTCGTTTGTATGCCAGGATGGGTTAGGTCGCAAAGAGTGCACTTAGAAAATCATTATCGCTGATCAGATTCCAGTGTTTCAGAAGGGCCAGCTTAAGAGCTGGGTGTTTAATTTGTGGGTGGTAGGGTAAAACAAAGACCAGCGGGATATTCTTTTCGGATTTTGCACGCTTTTTAGAGTTCACAGAATCGCGTGTATATGTGCTTTGTTGTTTGACAATCGGAAGCAGAAAATAATCTATGTATTTTGAAATTGATTGAGTCGGACCTCCGCAACCACTAATAATAGGCCTCCCCACAAACCGTGTACAAACTGTACGACATTGCAATTTGCAACGCTTTCACCCCTCACGGCACGCATATCATAAATACAGTACAGGTACATGAAGAATGAAGGCGCCACCTATTGCCAAGAAACTACAGTCACGCGACGTGCAACGGCACGACGCGACGGCACGACGCGACGGGCGACGGCACGACGCGACGGGCGACGGCACGACGCGACGGGCGACGG